AATCGATAATTGTACCTGACAATCGTTGAGCTCTTTGAACAACACTATCGATGTTTGGTACCCTTTGAAAGTCTCCTAAACGCAGAATTTCAGAACTCTTTTGAATACTTTTGAACAGTACTTTTGAACAGAACAGTACAGATTTTAAAGCTAAAATAAATCTTGTTGCTTTTCCAGTTTGCTTTAAAGCTTTAAAGCTGACAAACCTCTATAAAATTCGTAACATCTTTCGTTTTTAAAGCTCTTTTTCGCCACTTTCCACGTGTCTAGCATGACCACGTTTTGGATCTGAATGATTTCTTGCTTGAATTCATATAAAACCTTTACAGTTTTATTGATTTACGATAACATTTACAATCTCATTTAGCAAATTCAATTACGGTATTCTCTCTAATAGTAGCGTACCCCGGCGAGTCGAGTTGATGACTATTTTATGGTTTCCAAGCTTTTGCCGAAGCTCAACACTCTAATCCCCACTAGATCTCAACGTCAGCTACATTTTCCCGACCCCACATCGATAGGTTCTGATAAGCGATTCTCGAGATTTCGAGCAATTTAAGCAAAGCTTCGGGTGCACCACTATTAGGGAAAATACGGTTTTGATTGCAGATAATATGAGTCGCTGTAAGAAGGATAATGACAGCCAAGAAACGTTGCGTAGTCGTAAAGCAAGCATGGGAACAACTCACAAACAAGTTAGAGCTTCTGGAAATTGATGTCTAAGGAGCTCGCTCCTTATATGATGCAGATTCACACGTAAAAGATATTCGCTTCATTTATATTCACCTCATTTAATTTGCCTATTTGTTTATTTCCCCAATTTGGAATGACCAAATGAAAAAACATCAGCCGATTTGACTGTTTGGCTTGGCTTGGTTTAGGCTTGAGATTTGGCTGGACGAGTCGGGCACCGGATTCTCTCTAATAGTAGTGCATCCCAGCGAGTTGGTGACTATTTTACGGTTTCCAAGCTTTTTCAGAAGTTCAACACTCCTAATCCCCCACTAGGTCTCATCGTCATCTACATTTTCCGACCCCACATCGATAGGTTCTGATAAGCGATTCTCGAGATTTCGAGGAGTTTAGGCAACGATCATGGTGCACTACTATTGGAGAGAATACGGTACATCAAATCACTTTAAAATCAAAATGTTGAATTCTCACTATTGAGATCTATAAGCTTAACAATTCAATTTTTGTCAAAGTGTCAATTCAAAGTTACATTGAATCCTCTTTTGTTCAGTCTCATGATCACTTCTCTCGATAAAGTCCCTCCAAGCGAATGCCCCAAAATGAAAGGTCTTTTTGTGCCGGTGTGTTGCAAAATCTGAAAATATCGATTTCTAAGGTGAGGTAACAAGATTAAAATATTATAGGTATAAACAATTTTTAATACTTTTGTATGAATCTGTCCAGGAAAGTCTTTTCGTTTCATTTCGGACTTCCGCTAAAAGTAACAAATTCATCAAACTAATCTATGGTTTGCTCTAGATCAAAAGTGTTTCTTGTTCAATTTCCTATCCTTTTAAGTCAATTTCGGTTCACTTTCAAGCAAATTCGAGAGCGAAAGTTTTCTGCCCCACTATCTGCCTTACTTTCTGCTCCACATTCTGCCCCACTGTCACTGTATTTATAGTGACATTTTCTGCTCCACTACTGCCCCACTTTCTGCCCCACTTTCTGCCCAACTTTCTGCCCTACTATCACTGTATTTATAGTGAGATTTTCTGCCCCACTTTCTGCCCCATTTCGCTAGATCACTTTCAAGCAAATTCCAGAGGGAAACGAAGTGAAAATTCGAGAGTTTTCGTGAAAACCTATAAAAATCTCTACGAAAAAATTGGTTGAATCAATTTCTAAGAAAATTTGGCTATATACCAAACTTTTTATGCTCTATCATTTATCTTGTGACACCAAGATAGGTTTCCTTAGCTAAAGTGTGACTTTTCCAAAGCTAAAGTGTTGGAATCATCGATCCGTCGCCATTTTTGACTACCCCGACTTCAGGCTCCCAAAAAGATCCAAACATAAGACATTTCAAACCCATTTTAATGTTATTTTGCAGAAAAATAATTGGCCTTTCTAATGAAATAAACGGTAGTTCAATTGATGTATTTGTTGGTTTTAAACGGAAGTACAAAAAGCAACGAAAAGACTTTCTGGACACCCAAATACATTTTAATTACTGAGGTATACTAAAAATGGAAAAATTCCAACCCAAACCTAATTCCATCTTTGTTTTCTAGGCCAATTCTTGGTCGATTACGCTGAAATTTTGTCTACCGATAGAAATCAACATTTTCAGCTTTTAGACAAAATTTCAGAGTAATCGGCCAAGAAACGGCCGAGAAAAAGAAAGGTGGAATTAGGTTCGGGTCAAGATTTTCCCTTGTCTAAGCTGTATTAGCCAAGTTTTTCTGAAAATCGAGTCAAAGCGAGTCAAAGCGAGTCAAATTTAAAGTCAAATCCTTGCCTTTTCCGTGTAAAGATCGGCGAGTTCATCAAAAGTCTCTGCCGGGTAAGTGATCTTGTAATCAATCGCATAAACGCTGATCTCTTCCGGGAAAAAGTCGAAGAAAAGCAAAATACGGGAAGATCGATCCACCAATTGCGTGAATCGCATAAACATTGTATTTCGGATTTTGCGCTTCTCAGTGTTGTAATGATTTGAAGATTATTGAAACCTTTTTGATTTTCAATAATTTTAATCGACTGAGCTAGATCGCGAAACTTTGGGTATTTGAAAATGTTTTGGTGATCAATTTGGCGATTCAATTTTTGAGTCAATTCGTCGGCGAACTGAAGGACGAAAGTGAGTGTCCGCCTTTCTCAAAAAGTTCTCTCCAAGTCCAACCGATTTCTGTAAAAGTTCTGAAGCTGTTGAGATCACAATCTCCTCAATTTTGTCCAATTTTTCCGCTTTATGACTATCTCGATTTTTGTCTGAAGTCGATTTTCGTAGAGAATAGATGGCCTTTAGCTTTTCTTGATCAACCTTACCATTTTGATTTTTCGGTATCTCTTGTAAATCGATAAAAACAGCAGGGATTGCAGGAGTTGGTAAGGAATTGGCTAACTGAAGAGGCAAAGAATTGGCTAACTTGAGATCTTTTGAAAGTATCTCTGAATTCATAAAGCAAATTAACTCATTTTCAATCTTCAACACAATTGCCACGGTTGCTGTTGGCAAAATTTTGAGCACTTCTTGCTCAACTTGATACAAATCAACTCTTATTCCATTCATTTTCACTTGTCGATCTTTTCTCATGAAATATCTCAGCTTTCCGTCAGGATATCCCATAACTAAATCCCCAGTTGAATATTGATTTTTATCGAAAGCTTTCGATTTCTCTAAATCATTTATATATCCTCTAGCTATTTTTGGTCCTTTCAAAATGAGTTCGCCTTTTGAAAGACTGAAATTCTACAGTTTCTTGAAACAATTCCCTCTTCATTTCCCACCACTTTTCCCAGAAGTGTTCCAGATTTTTCCAAAGCTTTACACCGATTAATCGATGACCAAATAGTCGCCTCAGATGGGCCATAGATTTGGTAGAAGTTTTGGCCTTTGCTCAATTGACTTCTCCAGTCGAAAATCAGAGATTGATTCGCCGCCAGCTACCAGAATCTCGACTTTATGCGAAATTTCATCTAGAATTTGATCTGGCAAAGAGTTGTAGACAGCTGACGGAAGGAATAGGAAATCCGAATCGCCTTTTGAGGCAGAGATCGAGCAGTTGAGAATGGTTTCCTCGCTAATTAGGGTCCCTCCATTCAGCCATGTTCCCCAATAGTTCAACTTGCTCATATCAAAAACGGTGTTGACCGAATGATGAACTCTTTGTTTAGCTCTTAATAGTACTTGTCTTGTCGCATCAGTGATGAAAGCCATGTAATTCTTGTTTGAGATTGGGACAGCTTTGGGGATGCCGGTGGATCCACTTGTATGAATTATATAGAGAAGGTCTTGAGGGGTAGACTTTGGGAAAACTTGTCGAACTTTGGGCTCAATGTTTTCTGCAGGGATTACGGTAGAATTGGCGCACTTTGACTTGATGATTTCTGCAGGGATTACGGTAGAATTGGCGCACTTTAACCCAACGATTTCTGCAGGGATTACGGTAGAATTGACGCACTTTGTCCCAATGTTTTCTGCAGGGATTACGGTAGAATTGGTACGCTTTGACCCAGCGATTTCTACAGGGATTACGGTAGAATTGGCACACTTTAACCCAACGATTTCTGCAGGGATTACAATAGAATTGGCACACTTTAAAACCATCTCCGTCAATCGTTGCTCTGTTGTCGTTGGATCGACAGGTGCATAAGCCATTCCCAGCATTGAAATAGCTAAACTCGTAACAATTGTACTGTTCATATCCGATTGAATAAAAACAACTGAATCCGGCCTTGGACCGGATCCTTTCTTTATCCAATGATATCTAGAAATCATTTGTATCCGATATTGAACAGTTCTCAAAAGCTGATGATAACTCAAGCTTCTTTCGTCTCCAAAATTCTCTATCATTGCGAGATTAGAGCTAAATCTTGTTCGCTTAGGTTTCTCAGCTTGTTTCTCAAAAATTTTACTTGGAACAAGACTTGGGAATTCCTTTCTTTCACCATTAAACTTTACAAAATCAGCTGATCTTTGTGTGCCCATGATTGCTTTAAAATAATCCTTTCTGAATTCTTCAATCATTGCATCTGGATGAGCTGACACATTGTGCTCAATCATCAAACGATATCCATTTTGTGTATCATCTATTGTCAACGAGAGATCAAAGACCGAATTCATCGAATTGTGCTCAACCGGGCATTCGGTGTTCTCGATGGAGACTCTCGGGAAATCGAGTTGATGCCTAGAAATGGATTTTTGGAGAAAACAATTTGCACTTTTATGTCAAGATGCATCTAGTCATGACTTTAGCTTGTGGCTTTCTTTGGTTTTTATTGGAACGAATGGCTATCTCTTTGGTAAGGGCTTAGGTTTAGGCTTAGGCTCAGGCTCAGGCTGAGGCTTAGGCTTAGGCTTAGGCTTAGGCTTAGGCCCAGGCTCAGGCTCAGGCTGAGGCTTAGGTTTAGGCTTAGGCTTTGGCTCAGGCTCAGGCTGAGGCTGAGGCTTAGGCTCAGGCTTAGGCTCAGGCTCAGGCTCAGGTTTAGGCTCAGGTTTAGGCTTAGGCTCAGGCTTAGGCTCAGGCTGAGCTCAGGTTTAGGCTTAGGCTTAGGCTTAGGCGTGAAGAGGTGCATATTTTCTTGCGTGAAGCTGAAAGAAAAGCCAAAAAAAATTTGAATTGACTTTAAACCCAATACGCCTAAAGACAGCCAGTAAATTGACTAGCAAAAGTAAGCTTAGTATTAGGTTTTGCAAAGGATTTTGCAAGAAAGCCTTTGCACAGATTTGAACTAAAATTTCTTAAGAACAAATCCACCAATTCAAAAACACTTTGTTCTATTATTTACAAGTCGACTACGAGAAATTACTGGTAAAAAATGAGTACAGCTTTCCTTTAAAATTTAAGAGATTTTTGGAAAAGTATTTCGAAAGAATTCATGGCTTGCTTTTTAAGAAATCATCGTGCAAACTTTTTCTATGAACTTTCTTGAAAATATAGACTTAAAACCAAGTACGCCTAAAGTCAGCAAGCAAATTACAAAAGTAGGGCTATTATCTAATAGTTTTCTAGCAAGACTAGTAGTATTTATTGGGTTGGTGAATTGAAAAGTTCAAGAAATGAGAGCAATTAATGAAAGAAACTGACAGAAACTGACAGAAACGGACAGAAACTGAATGAAAGAAACCTGAAATTGAAGTAAACATTAAACAACGGATGTCTTCCTGATCTTGGAACGTTGAGCTTTTGAACTAAAACATGAAAAGGGATTTGTTGAGCTTTCATCGCTTTTGCTACAGCTTCTTTAGCTTTCGGGATCACATTTTCTAGAGTTTCTTGTGAACTCACATCAATCGAGATGACAATATTATTTAAAAAGTATCCAATTACATTCTGCATTTCTTTTTCTTTTCTTCCAGAGACCGGACTTCCAATGATAACTTTCTCAGCTCCATCCTCGTCTTGCCATCTTCTCAAAGTCAACGCCAAAGCGGCTACCATTACAGTGAATTCTGTAGTTTTATAAATTTTCGATAAATTTTTAACAAAATCAAGAGTTTTCTGATTGAAATAATATTCTTTTTTCTTAAAATTTGGGGTTGGATTTGAAATTGCTGTATAAGCAATTGTTGAAAGTGCTGTATAAGCTTGTGAATCGATTGCTCTCGTCAACTCTTCTAAATCTTTGGATAAATCAATTTTTCGTTGAAAATTCGCAAAATCCGGTAAAGTTGCTTTATTTCTTAATGGAGTTTGCTCTATTTTATAGCTTTTATGGCTTTTATTGCTTTGATGGCTTTGATAGCTTTGATGGCTTTGATGGCTTTGATGGCTTTGATGGCTTTGATAGCTTTGATGGCTTTGATAGCTTTGATAAGCTTTAGATAAAGTGTTAGCGAGTACAGTCATCGACCAGCCATCTGTAACAATGTGATGCTGAGAAAAGGTGAGTTTGAAAACAGGATACATTCTTCCTTGAATCAACATGCAACAATCGGAGATATCGAATTGATGTTTGATCATTGATTTGATGAAATCATTAGCTAATGATTCAGTAGCTAATTCATTAGCTAACGATTCATTAGCTAATGATTTAGCTAACGATTCATTAGCTAACGATTCAAATGAATCCTTTTCAACCTTTTCAATGACTCTTTCAAAAATCCAATAAAAACTCTCAGTCAACGAGAGGATTTCTTGATAGATTCCATTTGTATCTCTTTTGAAAATCGTTCGTAAGCTCTCCTGTTCAGCGATTAATCGTTGAATTGAGAAATTCAATCGCTTAGCTTCGATTATCTTTAAATCAAAGCTAATTGTAAACACTATATTGTATTTGGCTCCAAATTTGAGTTCATACAAAAGATACATATTTTCTTGTGAATAACTAAGCGGTAATCGATTCGTTTTCTCAATAATTTCCATGCTTTCGACGATTTCTTTAGTGGAAAGCACTTTTTCAGTGAAATCTTTAAACATTGGATACTCCATTACAGTATTCTCTGTGACTGTAATCCCCAAATTGTCTCGAATCGCCCAAACGAGTTGCAAAGCCAATAAAGAATGGCCACCAGCCGTGAAAAAGTTCGTCTCATCATCGATTTTCTTTAAAGATAAGATTTTAATCCAAATCTCTTTTAGTTTTTGAATTGGATTTGAATTTGAAGTTAGAAATTGGTTATTATTTGGTATAAAGTCGTCTGACATTTGGATTTGGTCTTTCATTTGGATTTGGCCTTTCATTTGGCCTTCCATTCGTATTTGGCCTTCCATTTTGCCTTCCATTTGGCCTTCCATTCGTATCTTTCCTCTCAATTCCTTTATTATATCATATCGTAACTGGAATGGATCCATTTTACTCACCGCTACACAACCATCCAAATCCCAGGCTCTCAGAAAAGCTTTCACTCCATCGCTTGTCGAAATTGAGCCTTGAGACAATAGTTGTTTAGCTGAAGATCCCAATTCTAAGCTCATTCCAGAGTTTTTCCAAGAAGGCCATTGAAGGCTTAAAACAGATTTGAAACATTTTGGTGGTTTCAAGGAAAATCGATCACAAAAGATGTTAGCTGCTGCGTATTCTTGTGTCCCTTGTAAGCTCAAAACTGATGAAAGTGAGGATGTGATCATTAGCTTTTTCACAGTAATATCTAGCTCGATCAAAGCTTTACTCAAATTCTCCAAACCTAACACTTTTGGCTTGATAACATTCAGAGAATTGATCCAAGATTTCTCTAGACTTTTCGACGGTTGAATGCCGGCACAATAAAGGAGTAAATCCGGAATTTGATTGCTTGATTTCAGCTTTTTCAGCGCTTCTTCTACTTGAGCTAAATCATTGACATCAACATCAGAAATCGCATAAATACAGTTAAGCTCATTGAGCAAGTGAATCAAATCTTTATTCTTTGATGCATTTCTTGACCAAATCGTTAAATTTCGATTCTTTTGTATGGCTTTAATGAAATTCTTTCCCAAATCACCTCCACCAACAATCAAAACGTTTTTCGGCTCAAAATTTGACTCAAATTGACTCTTCTCCTCAAATTGAGCGTAGTTTAGAGTTTGAATTTGGCTTTCAAATGATCGAAAGATTCTAGAGCTTGATTTGATTTCACTTATTGATAAAATCCTTTCAATACTCAATTCTTTTTCAAGAAATTCAATGAAATAACTGTTTTCTTTTGATGTTTTTAGGATTCTTTCTCTTAAAGGTCCTAGCGACATCCAAGCTTCTGAAAAGCCATCACTAATCACAAAAATCTCCATTTCTCTTTGAATTTCACGACAAAGCACTGCCACAAAATAGTAACAATTCAAGAAATTCTTCTCAAAATTCGCTTTTTCATTCAAGAAATAGATGATTGAGTCGAAATTTTCCTTCTTTAAAGCATTGACGACTTTTTGAAGCTCTCGATCGATATCATTTTCCGTTTCAAGCTTTAGCTTTAGCTCTGTGCCGAGTTTTTGCTTTAAATTCTCACAATTTGAAAGAATCAATGGGTTTTTCTTTGAGCTTTTATCGTTAAAATGCACATCTTCCCAAATCCACTTTAACAATTTCAGCTTTTTCATCTTCTTTTCTTTCTTTAACCAACAGATTGATGGCTTAAATTGATAAGTGGGAATCGTTGAGTCAAAGAGATCAATTGCTTTATTAAATCTCTTAAAATCCAGCTCAAATCCAATTGACCACAAATCACAAACGCTTTGATACAAAGAATCGAACTTTGGATTGTGATTCTTGAAAGTCGGCACGGTTCTAATCGAAAAAATCCCAGCCTTTTGCAATAAAATCTCAGAAATCGAGGCTGGTCCAATTTGAATAACAGCTTTGATTTTATTCTCTACAAACTTTTGTATAGTTTTATCCAATCTTACTGCTTTTCTCATGTGTTTTGTGAGATATTTTTCATCAATTTTTTGAATTAAATCCAAAATCTCTCCATTTATATTCGAAATCACTGATTTCTTTGGAGAATTCATTCGTAGCTTTGAAGCTTCTTCTCGAAATTCTTCCAAAATTGACTCTAGCATGTAAGAATGAAATCCGTGCTGTGTTCGAATCTTCTTGAAATCGATTTTTTGATTATTTAAAGCTTCTTCAAAAGAATTCATAACATTTGGTGGTCCAACGATACAATAGAAATCTTCATCGAGATAAGCTGAGATCTCAGCGCCATCAGGCAACTCAAACTTTCCCTTTACTGCTAACATTCTTGCTTCAGAAGTCGTTTGACAGAGTTCTCCGCGTTTCTTCAAGAAATCGATCATTTCCCTTTCATTGAGACAATTTGCAAATGTGAGAGCCGAGTATTCTCCAAGACTGTGGCCAGCAATGAGATCCGCTTCGATTCCCCATTCCTTCAATTGAGCAGCAATGGCCATTTCAAGGGTGAACAGAGCAACTTGCGAGTATTTTGTCTCATCAATTAGCTTGTTATCAGAAGTTGGGTAGAAGACTTCTCTGAAATCAAATAAAAGTCAATGAAAGGTTTCCAAACCAAAGTTGCAATGGAAACCAAAGTTTCCATTGCAATCTATTCTTTTGTTCAGTACTTACAAATGTTAGCTGATAAATTAGGGGGGGGACAATAATATGGAGAAGGGTTCCCCCTAATAAAACAAAAAAAAAAAAAAAAAACGCAAAAAAACAGTTTTAACATATTTATTGAACTTAAATTAACAACTTTTATTGATCATATTCGAATCTTCCTCCTTTGGCGCGATAATTGAGTCGCTTGATGGAAAGCCGCCCCGACCCCCCACTTTCCAGGAGATTTTTTCAAACTTTCGTGGGTTTTGTTGTGTTTTTTTGGGTTGGGCCACAAAAAAAAGGGAAAATGGGTTTTTTTTTTCCTAGAAATCCTGAAAAACTTGGCTTTGTGAGCGGGAGCACCATCTTGCTTATATGTTATTTTGAGTGCTTTTTGGATGATTTTGTTTTCTTTTTGGTTGTGTGTTGAGTTTTACTTATTGTTTGTTTTCTTGTTTAAAATTTCTTTATTTTATTTATTTTTTAAACTGTAAAAATTTTTTCAATGTTAAAAAATTTTCGTGTGGTTGATTCAGTGAAGAAAAAGCTTCTCTGCTTCCTTTATAACTTTTTTCTATTTGGTGGGGCGTCTAAGTAAAAAAGAGATTTTTTTTTTTTGTTTTGAGCTAGCGTTGTCTTTTTAATTCGACGGATTGATCGATCGGATACACCCATTTGTTTGGCTATTCTTCGAGCGGAATGGTTGGGCGGGGCTCTCTTTCGCAGACGAAAGCCTGACCTTCTTCTTGATGTTGCCTTTCGTCACCACAGATGGACGAACACCTCCTCGCGGCCGATCAGACATTGATCCCAACTCGTTGTAGCGTTGAATGGCTCGGTTAACAACGTTTCGATGCACTCCCAACTTTCTTCCGATCACGGTCGCCGATTCGCCCTTCCGATGAAGTTCCACGATCAATTGTCGATGCGGGGAAGCGCGAACCATAGCCTGAAACTCAAAGTTATAAAAAAATTATAATTTACAAATACAAATTCAATCATAAAATAACAACAAAAACATAAATTCGAGTGCAAAATCAAGAGCGAAGGCTCGTTTTCCGTCTTTATGTCATGCACCTATAATTCTGCCGCACCCTGTATATTATAGTTATCGTATAATCGGTTTTTCTTGTTCTATTTAATATACCGTTTTTTCTCTAATATTAGTGCACCCCGGTGAGCCGAGTTGGTGACGATTTTACGGTTTCCAAGCATTTGCAGAAGCTCAACACTCTAATCCCCCATTAGATCTCATCGTCAGCTACATTTTCCGACCCCACATCGATAGGTTCTGATAAGCGGTTCTCGAGATTTTGAGCAATTTAGGCGACGCTCATGGTGCACTACTATTAGAGAAAATACAGCATAGAATCAGAATCAAGCCTAGAAGGCTCTAGAATCAAGCCAATCACTCTAAATCAGACGGTCGATCCAGTCTTAGATCTAAACTGATTCTAGATCAGTTGTCCGATCTAGAGTGAAGTGAGGCCAAACGTCCGATCTAGAATCAAGCCGATCACTCTAAATCTAAGACTGGATCGACCGTCTGATTTAGAGTGATCGGCTTGATTCTAGATCGGACGCTTGACCCCACTTCACTCTGGATCGCACGTCCAATCTAGAATCAGTCTGTCTGATCTGATCAGTCTGATCCTACAGGATTTCTAGATCCCACAGGATTTCTAGATCCCACAGGATTTCTAGATCCCACAGGATTTCTAGATCCCACAGGATTTCTAGATCCCACAGGATTTCTAGATCCCACAGGATTTCTAGATCCCACAGGATTTCTAGATCCCACAGGATTTCTAGATCCCACAGGATTTCTAGATCCGACATTATAAACGAGATATAACAAGATAGGATCGTTTTTCTTTACTTGCTCAACATTTCTTCAAAATGCTGAAATTTGCTATAACTATAAGTTTATTATCAAAGTATCTTTTCGATTTTTACATATTTAAACATCACTTACTTGAAATCCATTCCAAACACCTCATCACACGTTGAAATCGACTCTGATAGCTTTGCCGAGAATTCTAGCTGGTTATTTTTGAAGTCTCTTAACAGCATATCCTTTCTCTGAACTCCTTGTGGTGCGAAAAGAAAAGCGATTTCGGAATTGGCAATCGATTTTGCCAATCTGACATCATTTTCCGTGATTCTATTCAATTTTTCTATTGCTTCTTCATTAATTTCGGCAAATATTGAAATCCTATAGTCAAAGGTTTCTCTTTTAAATTGAAGAGTTGAAGCAATTGTTGCCAAATCAGCGTTTTCTTTTTGCAAATATTTAGCCAAAGCTTTAGCCATAAGAACACAGGATTCTGGAGATTTTGCTGAGATTGGTAGAATGTGAATTCCTTGAGAGGATTTCTTGAGAATTGAGTGGTTTTTCGATTCAAATGGTCCTTCAAGAACAAGGTGAACATTCGTTCCACCGATTCCAAAAGAGCTCGAAGCTGCAAGACTTCCTTTCTCAAGATATTCCGTTTTCACGGGAATTCTCATTTTCCCTAGTTCCTTGTTTGGTTTACAATTGATTTGCGGCACCACTTCACCAGTTTCTAAAACTTTCAATATTTTGACTAACGATGCAAATCCAGCTCCGGCAAAACCATGCCCAACATTTGCTTTCACTGAGCCAATCAGAATCTCTCTTTGTCCATATAGTTTTCTCATCGCTTTCAACTCCATTGCATCACCGATCTTTGTCCCAGTTCCATGACATTCAACAATTCGAATTCGATCGATTTCCTTGTCACTCAAGTTTTCCAAAGCCTTCTTTATGCAAAGTTCTTGTCCAAAAGAATTTGGAGCCATGAAACTCGCCTTGTTTGATCCATCATTTGAGATTCCGATTGATCGAATGATTCCACGGACTTTAGACTTAGAAACAAGAGTTGTACTTGAGCTTTGGACTTGATTAAGTCTTTGGAATTGATCTTGAACTTGATATAGTCTTTGAATTTGATCTTGAGCTTGATCTAGCCCTTGAACTTGATCAAGTCTTTGTAAAACGATTACTCCAACCGAACTTCCTCTAACAGTTCCATCAGCGTCAAGACTAAACGGCCGACACTGTCCATCTTTTGACAAAACCATTCCCGGCTGATATTCATAGCCAAAATCTTCAGGTAAAGCTAGAGACGCGGCTCCAACAAGAGCCACATCTATTGAACCAGTCTTTAAACCCATTGCTGCTTGATGAATAGCTGAATAAAAAGTAGAACAAGCTGAATAAATCCCAATCGCTGGTCCATTTAGATTCAGATTGTAAGCGGTCCAAGTCGCTAGAAAGTCCTTCATATTCTGACGGAACATTTTCACCAAGCTTCCCTCTGCTTCTTCCGATGCATCAAAGTAGTCAGACGGCTCAGCACCAGCATAAACACCAATATTCAATGACTGCCGTTCTCTTATCAATCCAGAGCTTTCCAAAGCTTTGTAAGCGTGTTGAAGGAATGTTCGCAGTTGTGGATCCATTGAGTCAGCTTCTTCTTTGGGTACGTTCCAGAATTCGAAATCGAACTCATTATAACCGGGCGTCATTCCGCCAGCAATCACAAAATTCTCCAAATTCGACTCCTCTCTTATGATCATTTCTTTCCCATTTCTCAGATTTTCCCAAAATTCATCGATATCTCGAGATCCACTGAACGAGCCTGAGTAACCAATAATTGCTATTTGATCGGCGTTTAAGCTTTCCGGCTCTTCTTCCACAAAATTCAAGTTCTCAGTACCTTCCTCAACAGATTGTTCATTGATTTTCTTCAATCGATCAACCAGAATCGGTTTTATAATTTCACAAAGCCCATTCACTGTTGGATTGTCAAAGATGTCAATAGGGTCAATTTTGAGATCAAATTTCGATTGACACTTCTCTCGGAGTTCCTCAATCATTAAAGAATCGATTCCCAGAGTCATAAATCCAATGTTATTTTTGTCTGTTGATCGTTCAATTCCAGTGATTTCTGTGATAAAGGACCAGATCTGCGTTTGGAGATTTATTGGGTGAAAAACGGTAGACGTTGGGTTAAAATCAAGATTTCCTAGGTGAAAATCGGTAGAAGTTGGACTCGTGAACACTTTAGGTACTGAAGGAGTTTCTGTTTTAGTGATTTGAGATTCAGAAATTGAATCAGAAACGGTTTTTCTGATTGTTGAAGTCTTCTTTTCTACTTTAGACACTGAAGAATCTTCTGTTTTAGTGATTTTAGATCCAGAAATTGAATCAGAATCAGCTTTTCTCATTGTTGAAGTCTTCTCTTCTACTTTAGACATTGAAGAACTTTCTGTTTCAGTGGTTTGAGATCCAGAAATTGAATCAGAATCAACTTTTCTCATTGTTGAAGTCTTCTTTTCTACTTTAGACACTGAAGAATCTTCTGTTTTAACACTTTTAGATCCAGAAATTGAACCAGAATCAACTTTTCCTATTGTCAAAGCCTTTTCTTCTCTTCCCCCAAGCTCTCCTCGAAACACAATCCCGCCATCACTCCCCAAAATTGCTCTAACCACTTCTTCGGATCTCAAAAACTCCCATCCATTCTCTTTGATTTGTCTTCGAATTGGTGCCAAAGCTTCTCCAGAAAGCATTCCAACGTCTTCAATTGGTCCAAGATGGAAAATCCTCACATTTTGACCGGATCTTTCTCCAATCCTTGACATCATTCCGTTCGCAAAGCTGTACGCTAATTGGCCAAATGATCCTTGAACAGCGGCAATTGAGGAAAGGACAATGATTTCTTTAAACTTTTCAGCTCTATTACTTTCCAATAGATTTCTTAACCCTTCACATTTAGGCGCAAAAACAAAATCGAAATCTTTTTGGTTTAAATTTTTTGCTAAACCATTTTTCACTGCTCCAGCAGCATGAAAAATGACGTCAACTTCGGGAATTTTTTCTAAAGCATTTTCAAATCCTTCTTTATCAGTCACATCAACTTGAATCCAATGAAAAGTTGGGTTTAAAAATTTTGGTTTTGATCTAGAGATTAGATAAGCGATTTCTGGTTGGATTTGAGTTAAAATTTGATGAGCTAAACCTCCACTAGCACCTGTGATTGCTATCGTTTTATAGCTTCTGAGCTTTCTAACTTCTTGAATTCTCAAATTTTCTCTTTCAAATCCAATTTCATATCTTTTCCCATCTCTCAATGTGATGATTTCTTTAGAATTGAAAAATTTCAATTCTTCTCGTAGATTTTCTTTTTCTTTTTCTTTTTCAAACAAAATTAGCTTCCATTTGACGTTTTTGAATTCTTTTCCAAGGGTTTGGAAAACAGAAATTAGCTCGAAATGCTCGAAATGATCGAAATGATCGAAATGAGAAGAATTTTGAATGAAATGAGAGCAATTTTCAATGAAATGAGAAGAATTTTCAATGAAATGACTTGAAATGATTAAATAACCAAAGTTTTTGTTAAGAACATCAAATAATTTGATGAGTTCTTGAAGCAAAAGGAAATTCTGGGCACGATCATCAATCTCGAAGTTTAAATGAAGATGATAGACTGATTTTTGGTCAACAATTGGCATTTGATTCAATTGAATATCTAGAACCTTTAAGCCATGTCGATTCTTCTCATTTTCTTCTCTCCAAATCATTTTCCAATTAATTCCTTGAGTTGATTGATTTTGAGAATTTTGAGAATCTCTCAAGAGTTGTCTTGTCTTTTTCTCCAATTTTTTGTCTTTTTCTTTTTCTTCAGCGAAAGGCCAGAGTTCTTTTGGCTCAAGTTGAGCAAAAGGGATCCTCAAAACTGTCGGCAATTGCTTGAATTTCATGTTTTCTAAAGCTTGAACCAACTTTTCTAAACTAATCATTGGGCCAAGCACTGAATCCAAGTCATTTCCAGTTGTTAAACCATAATGAATCAAGAATAGAATCGATTTTCTAGAGGTTTTCTTAGAAATTTGGTCTCTTTCTCTTTCTCTTTCTCTTTCTTCCATTTTCCAAGCTCCAATCAGTTTCCTCTTGTAATTGTAGACAAGACAAGCTCTCAGTTTTTCTCTTGGCCTCGCAAAGAGATGATTTTCTATCATTGACAAACTTTCAGCTGTTAAATCTACAAAACTTTTCATTTCTTTAACCAAAAGATTCAATGATCTTTGTGTTTTTGCTGATAATATTAAAAAATAGTAAAACTTTGAGGGAATTGGGTTCCTTGGGGGTTCTTTTTGAATTGGCTTTGAAATTAATGAAACAGTATTTGTTCCAGTGAAGCCAAAAGAGTCAATTTGAGCGCTAGAGATTTTCTTCTCTGATCCAATAATTGATAGATTTGGAAAACTCCTGAATCTTCTATTAGTCAGCTCTACATGTGGAATTGGGTAAATGTATTGATTGCGTAAAGTTTCCAACACTGTTACAAGAGACAATAATCCGGCGGCTGGCTCAGTGTGCCCGAAGAGAGCCTTGGCTCCGGTTAGCTGGATATCTTTTGAGTGCACGCTTTGCACGGCTTCTAATTCGATTGGATCGCCCAGAGTTGTGCCTGTCATATGGCATTCTACAAGATCAACTGTAGAAATCGTGGAACCATCATTTCCCAGCTCTTTCATTAGTCCCATTTGTGCAGAAGTTTTGGGAACTGTGAGTGCAGATGATGCTCCACTGTGCCCAATTTTGATTGATTCTAGAATTGCTAGCGATTGAGTGACATGCTCGAGTTTTCCTAGCAAAATCACTACAATTGCTTCGCTTCTTGTGTATCCATCGGTTGAGGCATCGAATGGACGACAATGCGTTGCGGAGAGCATCTTTGCATTGCGCAGTGTTTGAGTGTTGTGATCATGGAGGATCTAAAAGTGGAAAAATAAACGAATCGGACATTAGTTTTGAAAGAAGTGCTATTTTTAGCATTCAAAAATTTAAATATGTTATCAATTCTAAAAGAAATATCGGCTCTTGCGTAGTTTTCGGGTATTTTGAAAGAATCCGGGTCTTTTGGAAAAATCCGTGTATCTTGAACGGGTTGTCAGCCTTTGAAGGTCTATAACTTTGTCCAGAAATAATATTTTTCTTAACTTTTTATATCATTGTATAGAGGATATTTCAAGCTTTCAAATGATATCAAATGAAGCTTGACTGGAATTTTCTTTCCCATGCAAACAAGGCGACACGATACCAGAGTCGGATGGGCCTCATTTGCTCAGAGTTGACTCTAATTTTCTTGGATTGGATTATCCAATTCAGCCTTACTTGATATCATTTGAAAGCTTAAAATGTTCTCTGTGCAATGATATAAAAAGTTAAAAAAAATATGATCTCTGGACAAAGTTATAGACCTTCAAAGGCTGACAACCCGTTCAAGATACACGGATTTTTCCAAAAGACCCGGATTCTTTCAAAATACCCGAAAACTGCGCAAGAGCTAAAATATCTTTATTTTCTTTATTTGCTACCAGATTTGTGCCTCCAACGATGGCAGCCTCACAAGAACCAGAGTTGATTGCTCGACAAGCATGCTCCAGCGCCACCATCGAAGATGAACAAGCTGTGTCAATTGATTCCGCCGGGCCTAAAGTAGTTTTAACCGAAAAATTTAAGGCTTAAATAAATACTACGTTACAGTACACATTTCAATACAAAGATCAATGAGTAAAGTATTACAAAGTATTACAAATTACAATTCTTTTTTTGCAACACAAAAAAAAAACAGAAAAACAGAAAAATCAGTGTTTTTCGTAAAAATCTTTAAAAACCTCTACAAAGAAATTGGCTGAACCAAATTCTATGAAAATTTGGCTATATACCAAACTTTTTGTGCTCTATCTTTTATCTATTGAGGCAAAGATAGATTTTCTTAGCTAAAGTGTGACTTTTCTAAAGCTAAAGTGTTGGCACCATCGAGGCGACACTCTTTTTCACTACCCGACTTCAGGCTCCCAATAAAATCCAGAAATAAGACCTTTGAAACCCGTTTTAATGTTATTTTGAAGAAAAAGAATTGGCCTTTCTAATGAAAAAAACCGTAGTTCAATTGGTGCATTTGTTGGTTTTGAACGGAAGTACAAAAGGAACAAAAAAATTTTCTGGGCACCCAAATACATTTTAATTACTAAGGTATACTAAGCCTGGAAAAATTCCAGCCCGAACCTAATTCCATCTTTATTTTCGAGGCCGATTCTTCGTCGATTACTCTGAAACTTTGTCTACAGATAGAAATCAACATTTTCAGCTTGTAGACAAAATTTCAGAGTAATCGGCCAAGGAACGGCCGAGAAAAGAAAGGTGGAATTAGGTTCAGGTTGGGATTTTCCCTTGTCTAAGCTGTACTAGCCAAGGTTTATCTGAACGGTTTTAAACGGAAGTACGAAAAGGTACAAAAAAACTTTCTGGACAGCTTAATAGAATTCCTGAAAAGATCATACAAAAATTGGTATCTGTCTCTCTTAAAACAGGCAAATTACTTACCTTGAACTTTTAGCCAATGAGCAATTCTTCCAGCTAAAGCACTTGGATGTGTTCCGGTGGTTAAACCAGGTGGTCGCTCCGAAATTTCCAAGAGAGCTTTTTGGCTAAACTCTGAAGGACCACAGCCAATGAAAATACCTAAAATATGGCAAAAGCATTATAAGATCAAATATAAGATCAAATTTTAATCATTACAAACTCAAATTTACTTCAATTTGCTTTAAAAGATTGCTTCGATTTCCAGATTGCTTTAAAAGAAACATACCAGTTCTATTCGGTAACTTGAAAGCACTCGTTTGAATCACTTCATAGACTCCTTCCAGAAGAAGTCTCTGTTGTGGGTCCATGAAAGTAGCCTCAATTGGAGTGATTCCAAAAAACTCAGCATCAAATTCTTTCAAATCTTTCTTTAATAGTCTAACTCCATCAAGTTTTCTGTGTTTATTGGAAAAATATGATAGTTTTGTGGTGGACATTCGATCAAATAGCTCTTCAGTTGAGTCAACTTCAGCACAACGAATCGAATAGTTTATGATTGAGATCGGAATTGATTTAGCTGACAAGTTATCAGATAATAATCTTCTCTCATTATTTATATGCTCAAAACTTTGCTTTACATTGTCAAGGTGTACTTGTTGTACTTGTTTTACTTGTTGTACTTGTTGTACTTGTTTTACTTGTTGAACTTCTTGTACTTCTTGTACTTCTTGTACTTCTTCTACTTGTTTTACGTGTTGTACTTCTTGTACTTGTTTTACTTGTTCTACTCTTTGTACTTGTTGTACTTGCTGAGCTTTTCCTGGACTCAAGTTTTGAGAGTTTTCCTGATTTTGAGAGGATTTTTGTTCTGACTTTAGATTTTGCTCAGTTTTCTTTTGAGGATTCGGTTTTTTCTGAGAAATTTGATCAGATTTAAACCTTTTCATTGAATTCTTCAAAACTTTATCTTCTTCATTGCTTTCTTTAGCTTTTCCAGTAAAACTTTGATACACGGCCATCACTCGCTCAAATTTTGCCACCACCGTTTCCCCATCAAAAGCAAAAATATCAGCAATGATATTGTGCTGATTGTTTTTCAGAATCTTTCCACGAATCACGAAATTGCTATTAGGAATTCGGTTTTCTGGATTTAAATAGAATTTTTGGACTGAAACAGGAACACAAGCGATTAAAGGCCGATTCTGCCAGACCCAAGCTAGAACCGTTTGTAAACAAGCTTCAAGAAGTCTTTCTTTTCCGAAAGCATCATCAGTTCTCTCAAAATCGATAGTGGATTCGATTTTGTCTTCAAAAATCTCCAAGTTCTTCAAAATTTGCATAGATTTTCCATAAGACATCCCTCTTGAGTCCATTTCTTTGTAAAAACTGGAGACATTTAAAGATTGCCCAGCTTTGTTCTTGCGAAATTCAGCTTTTAAATTAGATTTTGACTCAGATTTGAAAGGTTTCAAATCAGTTTTTAAATCAGGGTTTAAATCAGGGTTTAAATCAGGTTTTGAATCAGGTTTTGAATCAGCTTTTGATCCAGATTTTGAATCAGATTTTGAATCAGCTTTCGATCCAGCTTTCAAATGAGATTTTGACTCAGATTTGAAAGCAGATTTCAATCCAGCTTTCAATCCAACTTTCAAATCAGATTCCAAATCAGATTTCAATCCAGATCTCGGATCAGCTTCCAATCCGGATCTCAGATCAGATTTCAATCCAGCTTCCAACTCAGGTTTCAAATCAGCTTTCAATCCAGTTTTCAACTCAGATTCCAACTCAGCTTTCAAATCCATCATCTCTTTTTCAACTTTACAACTGAATATCAAATTGTTGTTGACAATCACTTCAATATTCCCAGTTTTGCCAATCCGAATCTCTGCCTCTTGCTCAATATCTGTCCAAGCCTTCAATAGCTTGATATCCCTCAAAATGAAACCCATTCCAAAGCTGTAAACCATCCATTCATTCACATTCTTAATCGTCACAACTCCAGGAACGATAGCTTTACCAGAAATCTTATGATCTTGAATCATCGTCTGATAAATGTCTAGTGTCTGGCGTTTGATCAAATTTTGAGATAAAACCTCAATCTCTGGCCTAAGATCAAGAATCAAAGATGCAGATTTGACAAAATGATGAATCTCTTTTGATTTGACTGAAGACGTTAAAGCAATCGTGTGTTTTCCTCCTTGTAAAGTGCATCGCCGAACGAAATTCGCTAGTATATCCCCAGGGCCACAATCGATCCAATTCTCCACTCCAAGCTCTCTCAACTTCTTCACACAAGTCGAGAAATAGACTGGTGAAGTTAAATGTTTCGCAAAATGAGTAGCATTCAATTGATCAAGTAAATCTCTCGTCGAAGTACTGATAATTGGGATTTTCGGGGTCTTGAACTCAATATTTTGACTTTCAATGACTTTAATAAAGTTATTGATCTCATTTTCATTATACAATGGAGAATGAAATGGAAAATTTGCATTCACAATTCTTACAGTAAACGAATTTTCTCTCAAAACTTTATATGCTTTAGCTAAAGCTGATTTCGAGCCACTGATCACAATTTGTCGGTCACTGTTGTACGCTGAAATGTAAACTTTATGATAAGATAAGATATTCATTCTTATAATAAGATTTTCAGCTTTTTGATCAGTCACAATCATTGATCCTTTACCGTTTAAAGAGTTCATTGCATTTGCGCGAGCTTGAATCAATTTCAAGCCATTTTTCATTGAGATCGACTCCGAAACGACACAAGCTGTGATTTCACCAACACTGTGTCCAATCAGGTAATCGGGCTCAGCTCCTGCCCAGGTCCAAAGTGAGAACGAGGAAAGCCCAAAGAGAAAAGCTTTTAATTGCTCGTTTAATGTATTTCCATCCTCGTTTTCGTTATTTGGATTAAAGTTTGGGACAATTTTTTGAATCTCATTCATACATTCTATCCATTTTGAAGAAAAAGCCTCAAAAGCTTTGCCTAGATTTTCTCCAGCTGTTGGATAAAAACTGCCTTGACCGGGGAACATAAACACTGTTTTTCTCGATTCAAATGACCCAAGATCTTTTGTGTAGGAATGGAGGATTTTGCGGAAAGTTTCTTGATCAAATCGAGCACCAAGTCCAGAAATGGAAAGGTTTTGGGATGAATTGGCTCTTGAGTTATTAGATGAATTGGCTCTTGAGTTATTAGATGAATTGGCTCTTGAGTTATTAGATGAATTGGCTCTTGAGTTATTAGATGAATTGGCTCTTGAGTTATTAGATGAATTGCCATTTTCTGAATTCTCTTGCCATTTTTCCCAGGTTTTGTTGGGATTTTTGTCATTTTTGTCAAGATTTTTGCCATTTTTGTCCGGATTTTCGTTTTTGGCTAGGTGATTCAAATCCTGAATCTCTTGTTTAGCTAATTGATCTTTAAACTTGTTGAGTTCTTGTTCTGGCCTTGATCTTGTCTTTTTCTTGTCTTGGTCTTGTCCTTGTTCTTGGTCTTGTTCTTGGCCTTGTTCTTGTTCTTGGCCTTGTTCTTGTTCTTGGCCTTGTTCTTGGTCTGATTCCTGGTCTCGTTCTTGGCCTTGTTCTTGTCCTGACCTTGACCTTGTTTTGTTCTTGTCCTGGTCTTGTCCTTGGTCTGGTTCTTGGTCTGGTTTTTGTTCTTGGTCTTGTTCTTGGTCTTGTTCTTGTCCTGGCCTTAACCCTGCCTTGCTCTTGTCTAGGTCTTGTCCTTGATCTTTATCCTGTTCCTCAGAATCTACAGTCAATCCTGGATCACTAAAATCTTGTTCATCCCTCAAATCCAGTCGATTTTTATTCAGCTCATTGCAGCGACGTTCATTTTCTTTCGGATCACCCAAATCCAGCACTCCTTGTTCATCAAAAACTCGTTCATCCCTTAAATCCACTCGATTTTTGTACACTTTCGCCCAATCAATCGCAGCAACAACAAGTTTCGGCAAATTTTCTCTCAAAACTAACTCAAATGCCTCGAAAGAGTCCACCGTTTTTAAGCCATTGAACCCCAAATTCCCCAGCATTTCATTCACCGACACGGCCATCCCAGTCTCCAACCAATTGCCCCAATTTATCGACGATCCACTCAAATTTCTCTGTCTTCTCTCGGCCATCATCCAATCAGCCACCGAATTGCTGACAGAATAGTTGAGTTGGCCTTTGTTTCCCAAAGTGGCCGCAACAGAAGACATGACAATGAAATACTCCAAATTCCAGTTGTGTTTCTTCTCCAGAATTTCTAGATTCTTGATTGAGACAACTTTTGGCTCAAACACTTCAAGGAATTTCTTCTCGTTTTGCATGGGAATTAGAGCGTCTCTAGTGACACCGGCGCTATGAACAATGGCATCAATTTTAAACGGTAATTGAGAGATTTTCAAAGTCAACTCTTCTAAATTTATCGTGTCAGCACTTAGGATTTTGACTTTACAACTAAACTTTTGCGTTTTTAAAGCAATTTCTTGATTCGGTTTTCTTCGAGAGATCAATACAATGTTTTCTAGGTTATACTTTTGATCAAGATGCTCAGCTAAAGTGAAACCAATTCCAGAAAGTCCACCAGTGATCAACCAGTTCTTTGCTTTCAACTGGACTTTCAACAACTGCTTTTCTTCAGCTAGCGAATTTTTAGTTGAAAATCTGTACCGAACGAGTTTTTCATTCAATGACACTGAGATTTTTGGGTAAAATTCGGAAGCAGCACTTTTCAACGCTGAATTGATAATCGCGGAGAACAAAGACTCAGTTTTGATCATCTCAAATCGATAATTACCCTTTGATCTCCATAAAGTTAACAAAAAATTCTGGAAAGCTGAAAAGACTTTCGACGTTTCGGAGAGATTCAAATTTGGAAAATCATTGATTTGAAAATGAATTGCTTTGGATTTTCCTGCTGTTATTCCTGCTGTTATTCCTGCTGATTTTCTTGCTGTTATTCCTGCTGTTATTCCTGCTGTCATTCCTGCTGTTATTCCTGCTGTTAAAACTTGTTCAGCTCCAATAAACGCACTTCCATTGAACTTCACTTGATCAAATTTCACTTTTTCATCGATTTTCTCTACTCTTGGTGTGGTTAAATAGACTATATTTTCAAGTTTTCCTTTAGTTTTTGTGTTTTCGAAGTCATTCGAATCTTTTGGAGTCTTTTGCTCAGTTTTGGAGCTACGTTCTTCTTCAACTTCCTCAACTTCTTCTTGAACTTCTTCAATTTCTTCATCAACATCTTCTTCAACTCCTTCAACTTCTTCTTCAACTTCTTCTTGAACCTCTTCATCAACTTCTTCATCAACTTCTTCTTCAACTTCTTCATCAACTTCTTCTTGAACTTCTTCTTGAACCTCTTCATCAACTTCTTCTTGAACCTCTTCATCAACTTCTTCTTCAACTTCTTCATCAACTTCTTCATCAACTTCTTCTTGAACTTCTTCTTGAACCTCTTCATCAACTTCTTCTTCAACTTCTTCATCAACTTCTTCTTGAACTTCTTGAACTTCTTCATCAACTTCTTCTTCAACTTCTTCATCAACTTCTTCTTGAACTTCTTGAACTTCTTGAACTTCTTGAACCTCTTCATCAACTTCTTGAACCTCTTCATCAACTTCTTGAACCTCTTCTTGAACTTCTTCATCAACTTCTTCATCAACTTCTTCTTCAACTTCTCCTCTAACTCCAACTGTTTCCATCACAAACTTCACAAAGTCCCCAACTGTATTTTGATCAAAAACATCATTTGTTGAGAATTCGTGACTTGGAAATTCTTCATTCAAACGATTCACAAAGTCAACAACTCCCAAAGAGTCAATTCCCAAGTGGAGAAATGTCTGCTCATCAGTGACCTCCACCTCATTCGGGATCACTTCAACAAGAAGGGACAAAATCTTTTGCTTGATTTTAGTCAGTTCGTTAATTGCTTTGACAGCAATTTTAGCCCTTGGTTCTACTCGTTTTTCTTCTTTTTCTTGAACTTCATTACTTTTGAGCTCATCAATGAAATTTAGGCCAATCTTTGGAACTCCACACACCAAAACACACCTCTCCAGTCCTTCGTATAGCTCAAAATCTAGCAAATATTGATCATCAGTCTTCATTTTAAAATCAAGAATAGAAATTGAGATGATTTTTTCGGAGAATAAGGCAATGGCTTTCTGGAATGAGATGCTGAATGGTGAAAGAATGAGATCTGTGGATAGTTGGAGATCTGTGGATTGTTGGACAGCTGTGAATGCTTCAGCTGTGAATGCTTTAGCTGTGGATGAAGCTTTACCTGTGAATGTTTTAGCTGTGGATGAAGCTTTAGCTGTGGATGAAGCTTTAGCTGTGGATAAAGCTTTAGCTGTGGATAAAGCTTTAGCTGTGGATGAAGCTTTAGCTGTGATTGCTTCAGCTGTGAATGCTTTAGCTGTAAAAGCTTTAGCCTCACAAAACTTGAAAAGAGCTTCATTCCCATTGATTTGAATTCTGATTTCATTTCCAGAAATCAATGTTTCGATCATTTCTCCATCTTTTGGATGTTCTAGAGTGGATGATTTTAGAGTTAGAGTCGATTTTGAACTTTCAAGAGTCTCTAAAGCTCGAAGAGCGAAAAACCAAGCAATTGTCTTCACATTTTGATCTTCAAACAATGAAAATCGATAAGATGAATAAAGATTTTGATATAAAATGTCATTTCCTTTTCTATTTTCCTTCCCATTTCTTTCTAATCCCCTTTCTAATTCCTTTCTAATGCCCAATAATGAATCTTCTTCTGGAATTGGTTCATTATTGCACCAGAAATCAATTTTTCTAAAGGGATAGCTTGGTGTTTTGAGTGAATTTCTAGATTTAGATTGATTTAGATCAATTCTCAACAACTCATAGCACATCAAGTAATCTAATCGACTCTTAATCACCATTGCAGTCTTTCTTTTGCTTACGAGCTCACTCAAAGCTTTCACTAAACCCAGCTTTTTTCTTGAGTTTCCAAAAGTTTCTCAATGACTCAAGCGGATTGTTCTTTTTGTTTGTTCTAAATGTCGATCAACTTCCACTAAATCCTCCAAAGAGATACTTTTTCGATAAAACATTATAGAAATCAATAAATATTCGGAATCTGTGTGAAGATGGACATCAATGGCTTGAGAAATGTTCAGTAAAGGCTCAGTAAAGGCTAAAGCCGATGCCATAAATGGAGAGATCTTCTGTTTCATCCAGTTTTTCAAGGATTTCTCCAATCTCAAGTCTCGAATCACGGAAAGTTCAAAGTTTGTCAAGAAATAGTCAGCTTCTTGTTTAATTAGGCGGGTTTCAACAATGTTTCTATTTTGAATCAATAGCAAAACTCCAAATTTATATCTTGGTTTAGCTTTCATCGTGTCTTCTAGACAAGCCAAACAATGAAATCCGTTTGAAATCCAATTTGAAAACTCGATTCTTAAGCGATCTAATGAGTCTTGTGTTTTTGCTGTGATCCTAATACAATGATACTTTTTGTTTTGATGAGAACAGCTGATTTTTTGAGTTTTTGAAATAATAGGGGCAGTTTTTGAAATAATAGCCGCAGCATTTGTTCCACTTATTCCAAACGAGCTCACTCCAGCAAATAAAGCTTCGATTTCTTGACCGATCACTGGAATAGCCAGCTTTCCCATCTTGATCAATCCATTCAAATTCGAGAAATGCAGAGTTGGAGGTAAATATTGGTGTTCAAGTTGTAAAGAAGCTTTGAGTAAACCCGTTGCTCCAGCTGCAGCTTCTCCATGTCCAATTGAAGTTTTTGCAGAAGAAACCATTGCTTTATCCAATAACTCCGATAAAACATTGACTTCTATTGGATCTCCCAGTTTTGTCCCGGTTCCGTGCGAATCCCAAATCTCAATCAACTCCTTTTGAGCTGTTTGAGCTCCTTCTAGAATTCTAGAATTCTTCCATCCTTCTCCATCTAGAATCTTTCCATCTAGAATCTTTTTAAGCAACTCCTTTTGAGCTGTACCATTTGGAGAAGTGAGTGAAGCACCCTTTCCACAATGGTTTGACTTAACATCAAGAATCCTGATGCCACCATTGGATAGCAAAAGAGTCTTGGATAGCAAAAGAGCCACACATCCGTCAGCTCTCGCATATCCATTCGCTTCCGAATCAAATGTATTACAGATTCCATTCGGTGAGAGCATTCCCCCATTTGCTCTTTGTCCCAATCCCCTTTCTGTAACAATGACATTCACGCCTGCAACAACAGCATACTCACATTTATCTTCTTTTAAAGATTCAATAGCTTGTTCAACAGCAATCAGTGAAGAACTACAAGCTGTATCTATTGTTACCGAAGGACCAGTGAGGCCAAAAACGTAATTGATCCGTCCACTGAGCACCGAGGCTGCTGAGCTCAACATCGACAAAGCGTCAGTCCGATCCAGCATTAAATCTGGATACTCTGTGCCCATAAATCCAAGGAATACACCGATTTTCTTATTTGCTAAGGATTGACCTTGATCAAGACACTCGTAAACACATTCGAGCAGGATTCTTTGCTGTGGATCCATTACGGAAGCTTCACTCTTTGAAATCCCAAAGAATTCGTTGTCAAAGCTTCTAATGTTGCTAATAAAATACCCACCTTCAAGCGATTTTCCATACTTTTTTCCCTTAATTAAAGTGTCTCTTGTGGGAATTCTTGAAGCTGGGATTCTGGAGTTGAAATTCCTCCCACTAACAAGCGACTCCCAGAATTCTTGCGGATCTTTTATCGATCCTGGCAATCGACAAGATGAACTTACGATGGAAATCTCAAAGCTTTCATCCTTTTGCTTTCCTTGTAAGTCTTCAATCGATTGAAAGTTTGTGTCGGTAATGGTTGAGTCATCAGAATCGTCAATCAACTCATCGTCTTCATCCACGTGCAAAATTTCATCGGATATTGTACTATCCAAAAATTCAGCCAACTCAGCAATTGTTGTGTAGTTGAAAAGATCGACTAAATCCACTGATAAACCGATTTTCTTTAAACTCGTGACAAGTTTTGTGATCAGCAATGAGTTCAATCCCATCTCAAAGAAACCAATATCGTTGTTGATTTGGATCATTGGAGCCAATAATAAAATCTCTTTCTTAATCAATTCAATCAATTTTGTACTCCGGCTTTGAATCGAGTGTTGCCGCTTCAAATTCTTTATTGGTTTCGCAAATTTCAGCGATTGTGTCCCGGATTTGAATAAACATTGGAATGAGATCACAAGCTTTCCGTGAACATCTAACAGACAAATCGTTGAGCTTAGCAATCCGCCTTTAAATGTGTAATTGAAATAGCCTTTCGTAGCTGAAGAGATTTCTCCAAAAAGAGAAATGTCTTCAAAATGGAAAGGATAGACGAGAGTGAAATCGTTTTGGGAAAGAACACTGAAAACGACTGCTTGAAGGGCTGCCTCGAGGGGAGCAATGTCACGATTCACCTGAAAGAAAGACTAAGTTTAGTAGCTCTACAGCTCTACAGCTCTACAGATTGAGTCAGGATTTGACTTTAACTAGGTTCTACAAGTCTAGTAAACACAGTTTCTGGCACAGTCGATTCTTGGATTCAAGTGAGACAGGATGCTTCATGTGAAACAGGAGGCTTCAACTGAAACAGGAGGCTTCAACTGAAACAGGAGGCTTCAACTGAAACAGGAGGCTTCAAGTGAAAAGGAGGCCTCAACTGAAACAGGAGGCTTCAAGTGAAACAAGAGGCTTCAACTGAAACGGGAGGCTTCAACTGAAACAGGAGGCTTCAACTGAAACAGGAGGCTTCATGTGAAACAGGAGGCTTCAAGTGAAACAGGAGGCTTCAACTGAAACAGGAGGTCTCAACTGAAACAAGAGTCTTCAAGTGAAACAGGAGGCTTCAACTGAAACAGGAGGCTTCAAGTGAAACAAGAGGCTTCAACTGAAACGGGAGGCTTCAACTCATTGAAACAGCAAAGTTTTTGTACTACACTGCGTTGCAAAACTTTAATCCCACCCCATTTTTTATTCAAAACCGTGCTACAAAAGGCCGCTCACGCCATTGCATCGCAGCCACCATAGCTTATTTTGCTGAAAATATGTGACCCCTTTCGTAAATCATTGTAATAGAGAGCAAATCCATCCAGGCCATCAAGTGAAAAACGGGTACGTAGGGGTTACAAGCCCCGGAGTCCACATATATGTGCCTACTTTCATTCACTTCAACAATACATCCAGGGTCACCGATTTGTTGGACATGATTTTCGATTTGCTTTTGTTATTCGATTGCTGTTCAACATGGCGATTCGATTGCTAGTCGATTCGAATTGTCGAAGTTGCTGTTGTTAAAGGATCCATGTCCATATATGAAGATTGAGGGGCTTATAACCCTTAAGTACCGAAAAATGTTTTTCGTCAGTCTAAATTCGTTCGTCAGTCCTTTGCTTTATGCTAATTTTGGCGGCAACCGAAAAGTACTAAAGGTTTTCAATGGAAATGGACAAAGAAAGATCAATTCTTTACCTTTACCATAGTACCAAAGTACCAAAGTACCAAAGTAAGCAGACTAACAAGAAAAGACAAGAATTGACTGTGCTAGAAAGTGTGTTTTTTGAAATTCTAGCTTTTGCTTTTGAAATCCTAGCTTTTGCATTTAGATAATCATTTAGATAAACATTTATTGGCTTGGTGGAAAAGTCTTTTCCGATTTTTTGGGATAGTACCTTAAATTTGTCCAATTTTGACGTTTTATTGCTCATCCTAAAGCTGAATTCAAGACGGATCGATTGGTAAAAACCGTTTTGAGATATCTCTTTTCTAAATGTTTTTACAGCTATTTTAGTAAAGGGCGGCAGAGCCAAGAAATGGCTGTTTTCTCGTTTCGTTGGTTTTCCGTGCAGAAACCTACGCTAAAACCATGTGTTTCGTGATCAGCGTCAAAAATAACCCCTAGATAATCCTTTAGGCAAATAAAATGCAATTAAAAGCTTATCAAGCAACTCACCTCAAAATTATTTAGCGCAAAGATCCCGTAGCTGTTTTCCGAGAAAGAGACCTCTTCCAGCACTTTGTATCCCCATCCATACTGATATCCGTATCCCAAAAAGCTCGAATAAATTTGATTCGCCGTATTTCGTGTCAAATTCTTGAAGCTAGTCTTCGCCAAATCGACGATACTTTCGGAAACTCTTTCGTGCTTTTCCACAACATACGAGACGACTGGAGCTGCGTTGACAATGATTTGCCCTCGATCGATATAGAAATCCCTAGCTTTACTAGCCGTGCATTTCATATTGATCGTGATACTTTGAATATTCGTGTAATCCGAGAATTCCTCTATCAGTAATCTCAGCCAAACAACAGCTGGCACAATGTTTTCGCCAAGAATCAAATGATCCTCAATGCCTAAGAAGAAATCTTTTGTTGATGAATCGTCATCATTCAAAATGTCCAGCCATTTTTCTGCTTCTGCAGCCAAGTCTTTTGTCTTATTCAACAATTTCCAATTTAAATCCTTCCCATCAACGAATTGTGAGCCAAGAAAAAGGAGATAATCTCTAAAAAATCGTCCAGAAATCGCTTCAGAGTCTTCAGAGTCATTTCTCTCTGAGCAAATGATCAGTTGATTTGTTTTGTTAGCAAAGTTTTTCAAGATTTCTTCTTCAAAGCTTTTATAGCTTTTGTTTTCATTCAACCATTGCCTCAGCTGGGTTCTTGTTTTCCCGAAAACTTGCACGAATTTTGAAGCTTTTTCAAAATCTTCCGTCTCCGCTAAAAATTGACCAATCCAAGCAGCTCCTTCGCTAAATATTTGACTTTTCAGAATTCTCTGGGTCAATTTCGAAATGCTAAAACTCGCGGCGACAATCCAAGAGGTTTTACTTTGCGGTAATCTTTTGCTAGCGTGAATGAAGAACTTCTTAAATTGATCAGAATTCTTCCAAAAGTCCAGCAAAATCACTTCATCGCTTAGATCAAAAACAATTGCATTAACACTGGGATTTAACGGATTTTCCGATAGATCTTTTCCCAAAATTTGTCTCGAGTTTGTCACAGTAAACTTTCGTTCACAACTTTCGCAGTTTTTCATTTCATTTTTCATTTTTCGCGTGCAAAGAATTTTTTGTGCAATCTTCAGCTCAATATCTCCTTTTTCAAGTGCTTGAGAAAGCTTTTCGTTGAATATTTCGTCTTCATCCGTTTCATTAATGATCGGGAAAAGGAAATATTGATTCTGAACGATTTTCTGAGCTTTCAAAGTCTTGAAACTGTTCAAATTCATCTGTGACACCGTGCCACTTAGCCCATAACAAGTCACAGCAAAGTCGAAATCGATTTGCGATTCTCTGGATTCAAAAACTTCAGGGATCTCTTCATGAACAAATGGCAGCCTCAAATTTATCGCTTTTCTCATAGCCGGCAATGGCAATTGTAAATGGATTTGGTGTGGGATTCGGCTCATTCTTGAGAGAATCACCAATTTCACAAGTTGTAGCAAGCCACAAGCTGCCTCAGTATGCCCAACGGAGGACTTAATCGAGCCAACAATGGTTGCTTGGTCCTGCAATCGAGCAACGGCCAGCTTTGTCTCGAAATCGTCGCCCATTAGAGTGCCCGTTCCGTGCATTTCCATATATCTCACTGATTTTCTCAAAGGCTTCACTATTTCTATTATTTTATAACTCGGTGACATTGTTGATCCAGAGAATCTCAAATCAATTTCGCTAATCAAAAGCTTGTCCACCGGTTTCTTTGCGCTTCTTTTCAGCAAAATAATTCCAAAAACCGATTGCGGACAGTAACCGCCACGATCCGAATCGTAGGATTTTGTCATTGGTGCGTAGAATTCTAAATTTTGCTTTGGTGAGCCAAATCTCGCAGCTGCTATCACTCCATAGTTGCTATTTTGCTTCTCCATTTCTTTCATGCAAACATCTAGAGCCACGTGCACTGAAGTACAAGTGTTATCGACGACAGAAACGAGTCCTTTCACTCCAAGAACAGCCGCCAGCTTTCCACTGATGATTGCTGGATTTCCTTGCAATAATGTATCGGATCCTTCTTGACTGATTAAATGTCGTAAACCGTCGGTAGCAAAAATAAATGGAGATCTTGATAAATCTTTATTTTCGAGTCTTGTTTTCAATCTTTCTGCACATTTCATCAAATGTTCGACTCCTTTTTCGAAAATTACTGCAGTTGTTGACGATTTCGATCTAGCGGAGAGCAACATTTCGTAAAGTGACACAAAACTTGAGCCCATACCAGGTAAATGGAATTCAATGCTTTCAATAAAAGTGTAGCTTGAAAATTTGAAGCTTGAGGCGCTTGAAGCTGAAGAGCTTGAAAGCTTTGAGATTTTCATTAACTTTTCTTCATTTTCATTAACTTTTTCCTTTTGTTGTTCTTGATTCAAAAATTTCAGCAATTTTTTCGGAGTTTCACAGTTTTTACAATCGTCATAGTCGACAAAGTGACCAAGTTTAAGCCGAAGCTTTTCCGAGAATTCTACAGAAAGCAATGAATCGAAATAAAGCCAATCAATTGCAGAATCGATTCCAGAAATTCCAGAAATTCCAGAATCGATTCCAGAAATTCCAGAATCGATTCTCAAATCATTCACTGGATAAGTACAAGATTCAAGAATCTCCAGAAGATTTTCCATAGTTAAAACCTTCTTTTCCAAAGTTTCCAAAGTTTCTTTAGCCATTAAAGCTTCAGTTTTTCTTGAAGCAGCCAAAATAACGGGCCAAAAGATTCTTTTTTCAAAATGAATCCTCGGAATTTCTACGAAATCTCCATTAAACTCAAAAATTTCCAAATTCACTTCTTTATTTATTGATAGAACTTTTAAAAAAGTTTCAAAGTTTAATAAATTCTCAATTTTTTCGTTAATTAAAACTTCAATATCCGTTTTTCCAAACAAATCTTGATTAAGAAGATCTTGATTATTTTTGACTTTCGTTTTCAAGTGTGAATATTTTAAAGCGAATTCCCGTTCCCAATTCTTCGAGAATCCAGTTTTCAACGCTTTCTCAAGGCTCAACTCATCTCTTGCAACAAGTGCTGTTAATAAGCCAATCCCTTTCCCATTCACTATTTTTGGTAAAATATTCATTTTCCTTAAGAACATTAGCCACGTCAATTGTAGGATTAGAGTCAACGAGCTTTGTTTTAATGAGCTCAATGATTTCATTGAGATTTGTGCTTTCCTCAAAATCTTTAATAAACATTTTGAGAACGCTGTACTGTAGCTAGTGATCCAGAAAATCGAATCCAAAGAGAGTTTTTCGTTGAAACAGATTTCTGTCGTTGTTTTGGAGGCTTCATTGAAGATTTCATTGAAGCCAATTTCTGTAGTAAGCTCAATTTTCATCGCTTTAATCATTTGCTCTCTCGTTTTTCCATAGAAAATCCGTCTTTCTTGGAAAATTGTTGAGCTTCTAGCATTTGAAAACAAAATATCTTCAAAGTTTTCCGAAGTCTTCTCCAAATAATCAATCCAATTTTGAATCTCTTCCTTCAAACGCTTTTCGCTTTTCGCTGAAAGTGAAAGAACTGGTAGATTTCTTTTGTAAAAGGCAATGCTTTGGCATTTCTTTGTGCTTTGGCATTTCTTTGGCATTGATTTTCCATTTTCATTGATTTTCCTTGTCTCAATCATCAAATTCACATTTGTTCCAGTGATCCCAAAAGCGTTGATCAAAGTTCTTTCAACTTTTCCCTCTTCACCAATAAACATTAGCCGATTCTTCTCTCTGATTGATTCAATTGGCAATTTTAAATGTAATTGTGGTGGTAGATAGGAATTTTGACCAGAATTTAGTGCATAAATTATAGCTACATGTCCGGCACAGGTCTCATTGTGACCAAAAACTGATTTCGGGGAGATAAGTGGAATGTTTTTCAAAGATCTCAAAGATTCTAGCAAAGCTCCGGCTTCAACTTTGTCCCCAACTTTTGTCCCAGTTCCATGAGCTACCACCAGGTCCAGGATCGGTTTAGTGGACGATTTTTCTTCAACTTCTTTATCGATTACATTGCCTTGTTTTTCGTTACATTCAACTTCTTCAAGCAACTCTTCTTGGCATTTCCTTTGAGCACTCCGACTTGGAGAGGCAATCGATTTCGTTAATCCATCAGAATTCATGGTGCTTCCAGAAATCGTTCCGTAAATTTTCCAATTCTTTTCTTTAGCTAATCGTTTTGTTGATAGAATGAGAGCTGAGAATCCCTCGGATCTCACATAACCATCTGCATCCATATCAAACGCTTTCAGCACTCCATTTGGTGAGAGAAGACCATTCGCGTCGATTGAGAGGAATGAGCTAAAAAGGTTTGACTTAAACTGGTATCGAAAATTAAGCTGCTGTTCTTTTTATAGAACTAGGCAATACTAGCTAGAGAGTGCTAGCTACAGACTATAAAGATAAAGGCAATACTAGCTAGAGAGGCTAGCTTTTTGTGAGCCAGTTGGGTCACAATTAAAGCTAGACCAAGCCGGGGCTGGCTTTTGGACTAACAGTCAGATCAGAGCTTACCAACGAACCGAGTACTAGAATCTGTGAGTCAATCAAAATAAGCAGGTCAAAAGTCCAGCCAAATGCCGTCCATTACTAGATAATGGATCTAGATACTGGTGCTGCTAGTAGTACTTTGGTAACAATATACCTAGCCTTATCAATCAAAAACAAACCTGGGTCCAAGAAAACTTGTTCCGATCACGATAACCATTTTCGTTTGTCCAGTCAACATCAAATTTCTCGCCAAATGAACCGCCGCTGGTCCACTACTGCAAGCACTCTCCACTCCAAGAGCTCCACCTTTGACGTTCAAAAGGTGAGCGATTCTAGAAAGGTGTCACTAGAATCGAAAATAATACAAAAATTACCTTCCAGCCACAAGTGACCCCATATTCCCTGTGAGCTGATATTGATCGATATCGGGGAGTAATCTCTCAAAATCATGAGCCCAACTGCTGGCAAGGATGAGTGGCTTAATCAAAGGATTAATTATTCTACAAATCATTCTACAATCCCATATCCAAAATTTAATTCTTCCGAAATTCCAAAAACAAACCTCGTAATGTGCAATTTCATTCAACTTTATCCCAGCATGTTGAATAGCTAGTACAGTTTGTTCAATGGCTAGTCGTTGATGTGGATCCATCGAAAGTGCTTCTGACTCAGGAATCTAAATAAGTCTGAGTAATACAGCTATGACGGCGAGTCACTAAATAACTGTCGCAGTCTAATACGATACTAGAGCCCGTATGACGCTCCGGGAAAAGTTCCGACGGCGTTTCTTACCTTTCTGGCGGCACCTTTGATCTTTCCAGTAAAACGTCCATAGTCTTCCCGCGGAACTTGCTTTTCTTCCAGAAAGTCTACGTAAAACTTTCCGCCGGAACTTCCCGAGGAACTTTCCAAGGAGAAGTACTCTCCACGGGAAAACTGTGGACGTGTTACCGGAAAGATCAAAGATGCCGCCAGAAAGATAAGAAACTTCGCCGGGATTTTTCCCGGAGCATAGCATACGGGTTTAGAAATACCCCTAAACTTAGTCAGAATTTTCGGGAGCTGATCAAAGCGCCGTATACAAACAGCAAAAACAGCAAATGTTGGTTTTTTTTCTTATGAAAGTTGGTTTCCTTTGTTTCGTTTGATACTTTCACAATTTACATCAAAGTAATTCTTTTTTGTCTCTGTTCCTTTTGTCCTTTTTTTATCTTTTTGTCTTTGTTCCTTTGAGCTTCGTTGAAACATTTTCACATGCTTTGCCTCACGTGTATTGAATAAAATTACAAGGGAACCTTCCCAAGTTACCCGCGAGTTACAATATGAGGTAGGTTGCCAAAAGAAAGAAAATGCACGTTCAGAAATTGTTTTCAAAAACCGCTAATCGGTAAAACGCACAAGGCTATAGCCATTTGAATTTCGAAAAAAGGCTTTTCTCGACTTTCTGGCACACTGATTTTTGCCGGCGGAAAGGCTTTCCTTTTGCCAATCCAGAGCCTGAGCCTGAGCCAAAGCCAGCTTCTAGCCTTGTGGTTTTTCATTAAAAAAAGCAAAAAGTTCGACTGCTGGCGAATCCGAACCAAGATCAAAGAGTTCCGAACGCAGCCACACTAACCACTAAGCTACGAGCTGGCTTTTGGCTTGGCGAAGGGAAGCCTTTCCTTTCGCAAGGAAGGCTGAAAAGGCGGACGAAAATCAGTGTCCCAGAAATTCGAGAAAAGCCTTCATTTTTTGCGAAATTCAAATGGTTATAACTTTGTGCGTTTTGCTGATTTGCGGTTTTTGAAAACAGTTTCTGAATGTACATTTTCAGGCCTTTCTTTTGCATATACCTCATATTGTAACTCGCTGGTAACAAGGTTGCCTTGTTAATTTTGTTATTCATTCAAGCAAAAGCGCATAGATCTAGTGAATTCAAGTGAAAGCACACTAGAAATTCGTAATACAGAGCAAATTAGTTTTGATAACAACTATAAACTAAAAGAAACTGTTTTATCGTTTATAGCTCACCTCAAAGAACTCATTGTCAAAGGCAGTTGCTTGATCGACAAATCCGGCTCGAATCTCCGGTTTTCGCTGTTGAATCTCCCACAAATGCGAATGTTTTTCGGTGATTGATACGATTGGATCCTGAAATTTTAATTTTCAAATTAGCAAACTAAATCTTTACCTTTGACATCCAAGCAAGCTCTGCAAACTCTTTGTTATCCCCACAACCGGGAGCTTGAATCGAAAAGCCAACGATGACCACCTCATCGTCGGGTTCTAAAAAAAGAATAACCTTGTTTCATTGATATACTTGAAATATAATTATCTAAAGATCTTTATTGATCAAACAGTCAAAACTTATTGATCAAACAGTCAAAACTTTCATTTATCGTTCAATAAATCCTCAAATTCTTAGAACAAACCTTTCTTCATCGCCAAAACCTTATTCGTATTAACAATTGCTCCTATAAATGGAAAAATTGTTAAATTCTTCTTTCAAATACAAATTCTAGGGAGAAATTTTTGTGTCTTTTAGTTATTTTTTCAACGATTGAGCCAATTTGCTCGTTTTTCTTTTGCCGTCTCGAAAACTGTCAAGAAACCAAAGATAATTAGCTGAAAGATGGCATAAAGGGGTTTTGGGAATAAAATAATTGAATTTCTAAACCTTTCTCAGTTATTTTACTTCTATGTTTATTTTTTAAATAAACTGTTTACTCGTGCTTGTAACTTTTTCACATTTCCTTGTTCAAGAGAACTCTTCTAGATATTTGATTTGAGTGAGATAGTGAGCTCTCTTGCCACCGATCAATTTCTTTTTTTCGTCCAGACAAGTCTTCCTTTAAGTTTTAGATTTAGAATATTTAGATTTCAACTTATTTTGAATTTGCTCTTCCTCACTAGATCGTTGGATGACAGAACTTGTTCATAGAAAACGTACATAGAACTGGAACTGAAAACGATTTGCCCGCTGGGAGAAGAGATATATGGAATTGGAATGGAATGGAAATGGAAAATGGAACGGAAAATTGGAATTATTTGCTGAAAAATCGATGTTAAATAGATTATATAAAACTAACAGCCGAAAAACCTGTTTAACGGGATCTAAAGACAGCAAATAACTAAAGACAGCAAATAACTAAAGGCAGCAAATAACGCTGCCTTTCAAGCTTTAGATCTCATTTTTTTATGAACATTCTATTTCTATATTATTTTCTTTAGTCTTTATAGAATACCCTTCTTCATTAAACAGCTCGGTGAAGATTTGGGAAAAGGAAGATATGGAGAGGCGACAATCGACACAAATGAAAGCCCTTAGAGAGCCTCACAAATGAAAGGCTGACAATTTTCCAAAGAGCGTTTCTTTAGAAAATTGTCAGAAATTTAAGTGTCATACCATAGCGCTTTAAGTTTAGCTTTGAAAAAGAGCTTGAGTCGTTGATGAGGCTACGTCATCCGAACATCGTATTCTAAATTCGTCAAACCAGCAAAAGGCTTTTTTAGCGAATAAGCAGAAGAGTTACCAGTTGGTCATAAAATAATACTCTAGCATTGCATCCACTCGGGTTTAAATTGAAATTAGAGACTTGGATTCCACATGATTTAACGAGCACCCAGAAATGGTAACGTGTCATAAATCGAAGTCTTTGACTTGCTTGTGCTGGTGGTGGTTGCACTCTAGCCATCCTTTCTCCAAGCGTCTCTGCCACTCTTGTGCTCCACCTCGTTGCTGGTCTTCCGATGGGCCTCTTCTGGTCTCGTGGTAGCCACTCTGTGATCCGTATCGTCCATCTGTCGTCTGCTCTTCTAGCTACGTGGCCGGCCCATCTGAGTCTTTTTCTCTCGATCACTTCCACTGGATCTCTGAGTCCCGAGAGCTGGCGCATATCCGTACTTCTTGAGTCTATCAAGAAAAATGTAATTTATTTATTTAAAAACTTGTCTTAACCTTAGTCATTCAGTCTTCTACACAGTCATTTATCAGGGAACATCTATTCTACTTCAGGGAACATCTATTCTACTTCAGGGAACATCTATTCTACTTCAGGGAACATTTATCCTACTTCAGGGAACATTTATCCTACTTCAGGGAACATTTATTTGCGAGTACGCAGGGGAAATCACTTCGAAGGCTGAGCAATTGAGATGGGTAAATGATTTTGAAGTAGATTTTGAAGTACCTCCACGGCATTACACTTGTTATGATGTTAAATGATTGCTTGTTATCTTATTTTGCTTGTTATCTGTCGTCATTATCTTAACCTTTTTTAAAATAATCTCTTGAATCAAATTTAATTCCATTTTATTCTTTTTAGTTTGTTGTAGGCCTTTCTTTTGACGGCTTTTCTCTTTAAGTGTAATGCCGTGGAGGTATTTTTGGGGGTAGTCATTGAGAGATTTTGAGAGGAGACAAAGATTGAGACAAAGAGGGATAAGCGAGGACTCGTCGAGCATGAACAGAAGTGCAGATTTTCAAGACATTAATTTCACAACCACTATATCGATTATCTCTTATCCAATTGACAAAAAAAATCTTTGTTTACCGGCTAGATTCCTTTTGTTTTATTTGATTTCTTTAAGCCAAGTCAGTTTTTCGGATTTAACCAACTTTATTGCTTGTTTCCAATAGGAAAGTCGGTTCAAAATTTCTCAGAAAAGAAAATCTAACTATTTTCTTATCTCAAATTGTTCAAGACTTGTTCTTTGTTTTTAAAAATTGGAAACGCACTTGTTCTGGAGCACTCAAAGCTTAAATTTGAACTGAAGCTTGGGCCCTAGAGCAAGGCCAAGCTGCTAGAAGCCGGATTCAAGTACGTATTGTGGGTCAAGGCTGTGGCTAGGCCAGATCAAGCAAGATCAGGTCAGAATGCAGAGCTGTAACTGGTTTTTAACACTGATTTTGTTTGACCTGGTTTAACCTGGTTTGACCTGAAGTCTGATCTAACCTGGCTTTACTATCTGACCCATAAAAAGTACTTGAATCTGGCTTCGGGTCTAGCGTCTGGCTCTGGGGTCCAGCAGGTTAGACATTGGTGAACCAATTGACTGCTTGAACATCAAAATTGCCATTGCTTATGCAAAACAAATGATAAAGAATTCAATTCTTCTCGAGCAAATGCCTTATATATCTTTAAAGGCTCAAAACATAGGTATTCAGTGCACTAAGCTGAATATCCATAGTTGTTGCTTCTATTGGAGGCTGCGCTTCTATTAGAATAAATACGGTATTCCAGTCAAAAATGAGCACCCCACGAAATGAGGCCTTCGATAAAGCGAGGACACTGCAAGAAGCCGAGAAGGCCGACGAAGCACTTGAGTTGATTCGACAATATGTTGAAGATCAGGTAAATAACTGACAAAACTTATAATTATTAGGTTGGTGAATTGAAAACTGCGGGACTTTGAACTAAAATTTATTGAACATAAAACCATCAATTCATTCCAAATCATTTCCATTATGATTGACGACTTCTGCCCATTTTACAGGCAATTTGTGGATTTCTTTTTCGTAGTAGTATTTTGGTTTGTGTGTGAGACAAGTGTGAGACTCAAAAATGGAAGACTGGACTCTGAGAATGGAGGACTGGACTCCCAGTTTGAGCACTTTCTTCAAAAGAAACCCATTTTGGTGTCAATGGAAAAGTTGTAGAGAATCAAAAATTAGGCTTATAGCCAAATTTCCAAAAAGATACACTTAGTAGTTTCGATTAAAATGCAAGTTTTGTGAAAATTCGTAAATTTAGCATTTCTAGAAAGCCGGTTTTTGAATCGTTCTGAAAATCTGGATATAAGCTTCATTTTTGATTCTCTACAACTTTTCTATTGACACCAAAATGGGTTTCTTTTGAAGAAAGTGCTCAAACTGTGCCATATGACAATAGCCAGCAGTTTTCAATTCACCAACCCAATACAATTCACCAACCCAATACAATTCATCAACCCAACCCAATTCAATAAAATTTTAAAACTTCAGGAGACTGAGCTTTCCGTAAAAGAAATCGAGACATTGAGTTACATTTTGCAGGAGAAAATGACAAGGTTAGTTGCACAAACTATCGCATTTATTTCTTTTGATTAGTTTATGAAGTTTGCTAATCCTTTTCTGACAAGGGAAGGCCACGAAATCAAGCTGGCAAATCAAAATAAGACCTAGACAATCCGATGCAGAATTTTACGCTGTTTCCGAAGCTGCTGTCCGTTTTTGCTAAATAGAAATCGGAAAATCGGAATCGCAAGGAATTTGGCAAACAAGTGGCAAACAAACAAGTTTTTGTCCTCTCTTATACAGAAAATTTCTACACTTAAACCATCCTGATCAGAGCCACCTAGCTCTCCAAAGAATTGTAGCATTGTAGCTGGAGGGAAGCCTGTCAAGGCGCTCACCTAATTGAATCCGTTTTCAATTGAAAAATCCAGAGCCAGACTTTAGTTTACACTTCAAACTTTCCAGGTTTCACAACTTATTTCATAACTCCTTGCGTACGCACGACAAGGAGTGGTTGCGTAGTGCAGTGAATTACGTCACGATAATGCTAAGCTGTAGATCGAGGGTTTGACTCCCTTTAAGTTTTTCTTTCTTTTAAACAGTTATTTTTTAGTCTTTCCTAGTCCCCCTTCTCTTCGTAATTGCCAAATATACAAAAATTTTGTTTAAATCTTTCTGTTCAACAACAAATAATATAAATAACTTAACAAACATGATAACAATCGATAAAATGAGTAAAATATAGTTCAATACTGCATTTAACACAACACATAAAAGCGTCTGAACTGCAATTCATAGCTTTGCTTGTCGATTGTTGACTTTGAAGCAAATCTCAATTGCATTTCGAGACGTTATCCGCTACACTACGCAACCATTTCTTTGTCGCGTTATAAGAAAGGCCAAAAACTTGTTTGCCAAATTCCTTGCGATTTTGGGCTATTCAACAAAAACTGGCAGCAGATTCGGAGTCAGCGTAAAATTCTGTATCGAATGGCACTTTGAAGCAAATGTCAAGGGGTTTCTCAAATGGAATAAACGGGACATCAACGTACTGTGGTACTGAGGGGTACTGTTTACAGTTTGCGGCCGTTGAACAAACGTATAAAAAGGATCTGGGACTACCAGGTGGTGCGGGATGTGCACATAGAGAACTATAAAACAGCTGTTTAAAGAAAAAAAAACTTAAAGGGAGTCAAACCCTCGATCTACAGCTTTGCATTCAGTCAAACTCTCGATCTACAGCTTTGCATCCAGTAAAAGCCTCGATCTACAGCTTTGCATTCAGTCAAATCCTCGGTCTACAGTTTTGCATCCAGTAAAAGCCTCGATCTACAGCTTTGCATTCAGTCAAACTCTCGATCTACAGCTTTGCATCCAGTAAAAGCCTCGATCTACAGCTTTGCACTCTCCTACGCTACACTACTCATTTCTATGCACAACAACACAACACACAACTACACTACACACTCATAAGAGAGGCCAAAAAACTGGCTAAAAAGCAAAAAACCCAATTTCAGCAAAGAGCAGCGTTTCTTTGTCGCGTTATAAGAGAGTCCAAAAGTTTGTTTGTCAAATTCCTTGTGATTCCGACCTATTTAGCAAAAACTGGCAGCAGATTCGGAATCAGCGTAAAATTCTATATCGGATGGGCTAGGTCTTATTTCGATTGACCATCTTGATTTCGTGACCTTCCCTTGAGAGAAAAATTGTTCTAGTGCCTCATTTGACTCAAAGAAAGAAGCCTGCTACGAAGCAATTGATATTTTGGAAGGACTAGCGATAGCGTGAGTTGCAACTATCACTAATCTTTAAGGTAATGCAAGAGCTTACTGCCAAAAATGTCAAAAAGCCAAAAGTTTGAAGTTCTTTATCCATTCTTGATTTTGATTAAGCAAAAAACTTCGATTTCAGCAAAGAGCAGCGCTTTATTCTTGCTTATGCCGAAGCTGCCTATGAATCCTTTTCAAAGATCAATCGATCCGCCCGAGATGAAGAACGAGAAAATGTTTGGTGTAGAGCAAAGGTCAGTTCTGCAAACTTGGATAGACTATTGAAATTTGTAGGAAATGTACTTGGAACTCTTCAAAACAGCAAAGAAAACCTACAAAGAAGTGAACAATTTGGAGCGATTAGAAGTCAGTTCGATCACTGAAGAATAAGCTGAATAAGAAACGAGTTGGGGTCAAGAAATTCGCCAAACAATGGCTTAAATCCATTGAAATCTGCAAGAAAACAAGCAAAAACCAGTGCATTTTATCAACATTATGTGTTCATCTTTTCCTTTTTACAGATCTATGTCAATTTTGCAAAGCTTGCTAAGAGTTATCTGGATGTGGCTGATGAGGACTCGTTAAATGTGAGTTACTGAATGTTTTTGGCCAAAAATTTAAACAAAAGTTTCATCAATAAACCAGGATTTTAGATATGCGAAGAAGCAGCAAAGGAGGCAAAATTTGTTGGGCCAACTGGTTTATCAAAAGATGACTGGAATGAGGTAGATATTTGATGCTCGACTGAAACTTGGGCTCAAGGTTACTGTAGCTGAAGTAGAAGGGTATTGTAGCTATTCTTTGTCAAATATAGATTTGGGATCACTAGAATTTAGCCAGCTACAGTAACCCAAGCAAGCATGTTAACTCCGCCCCTTTTCCGGTCCGTTTGCCGTTGGCAATCTACGAATTTTGCTAGTATCTTAGCCAGGTTTGTTTGAAAAACGTTGATTTTAGTTTCATTCAATAGAAAATTTGATTCCGAGTCGAATGAAGGCAAATTCAACGTTTTTCAAACAAACAAAGCTAAGATAAGTGCAAAATTGCAGTAGATTGCCAACGACAAAGCCGAAAAAGGGGCAGAGTTGACATGCTTGCTTGGGTTACTGTAGCTGTTATACTGTGGCTGATATACTGTAACTGGTATACTGTAACTGGTATACTGTAACTGATTTAGGACATACGGTACTCGGTGCAGGTATACTGTAACTGATTCAAGGATGAAAGATGAGCTACTGTATTCGACAATCCGCACTTTAACGATTCTATAGCAGGGAATTTTCAGATCAAGCGTCAAGTCGATCAAATCAAAAAATATTGCAAAGATTCTCGGGCAGAAAGAAAGCTCTTGGACGATGAATGAACAAACCCATTAAAGTATTACTCGCATTTGATTTTTGAGTTTCATCAATAATATTTATTTGATTTGCTCAAGAATCTTGTTTTGTGTAGACGACCCGTGTGTGCTCCAAGTAGCCAATCTGAACTCTCTTATTTTTCATTGATTGATAATCTTTACTTTTGGATGTGTTGCTGTTCTCATTTCGATGACTTGTTCCAAAAAGCGATCATCATGTCGGATAAATGTTCGTCGAAGCTGAAATCCAGTGTGAAAGCCATTTTTATGGAGTCTTTAAGATCTATGGCACTTGAGTGCAAATGAATAGTATAATACTTTATGAATAGTGCAAATGATGCTTTTGTAACTAATCTAAGGCTTACTGTGGCTGTTCACTGAAACTTACTGAAGCTCTAAGGCTTAGCGTAGGGGTTCACTTATACTTTGAGCTACTGGAGCTATTGGGGTTGCTGATTGAGAAGATTTAAATCGATTCGTCGTATTCCTGGATATTGTCAGAGATCCATCCTGAGAGAGTCAAATGTAAATACGTGGACACAGATACAGATAATAGCCCTAGGATTCTTGCTCGGGATTCCACTCGTGATGACTAGTTGAGCAATCGAATCAATGTAGTCATAATAATTGATATACACATCAACGTTTTTGATTTGAGCCTTCAACGAAGGCTTGTAGTAAGAGCGAAATAGATCTTTGGAAAAATAGTAAATCGAAATTTTAATTTGCCTTGAGTCCTCGAGTCGTACCACGATGAAATTCTGGATTAGAGCTTTGATCGCTTGATTTGGCTTCACATTAATCATCACTGGTATGGTCTGTTCCCAAGCTCTAGTTTCAGTTTTTATAAGGAGAATTTGCAGATCTTCTCAACAAGTATGAGCGAAGTGGCAAACATGCGGATGTTCCTTTTTCACTTCAAGTAAGTCAAATTTGGCTAGAAGCTAAAAAAATACAATATAAAACTTATAAAAAACCTTAAACTTTAAACGTTTAGATGATTTTCCTTCATATCTGTGCCTTGGCCGTACTCTTTAGTGACTTATGGATCCCGTATTTTCATAATATTTCGGCGATCTGTATGGTTTCTTTCCGTGGGAGCTCTTGTTGAATATCTTTTTGGGCGAGTTGAAAAGAGAAAGTTGTTCTTTGTGCTCTCTACCACATTATAACTATATCCCCAACTGTTTTCGTCAAAAAGGATGCGTTTGTTCGAGCACAAAGAACAAACCAATCAATCAAAAAACCAATGTTTTTATTCTTCAGTCCTTCAGCCTCCTTGCCTATTACAATCAACGAGAGCTCTCAAAGTAAACATTTCATGTGGCCGATCGATTAAAAGGTGTCTTGATTGCTGTCATTTCATCGAATAACACGAGCTCGATGGTGAAATTTAGATGAACAAACATTCAAAAAAGATCCTGAGATTGAACACTGAGAAAGTTTGTGACTTGCTTAATTTTTGTATTATTTAATCCATTGATTAGCAAAAGGAATGAATAGTTCAATTGTGAAACAAAATTTAATGATTGAGAAGGCACATTTCGCCTAAAATTTTGTAAATTAACTACAAGTTACAAAGTTAGAAAGTTACGAAAATTAACGACACGGAAAATTAACGACACGGACACAGTTAACGGCCTTGGGCTTATTGCTCGAGATTCCACTCGTGATAATCAGTTGAGCAATCGAATCAATCTAGTCATAATAATTCATATACACATCAACGTTTTTGATTTGAGCCTTCAACAAAGCCTTGTAAGAGCGAAGCAGGTCTTTGGAAAAATAGTAAATCGAAATTTTAATTTGCCTTCAGTCCTTGAGCCCCACCACGATGAAATTCTCGATTAGATCTTTGACCACTTGATTTGGCTTCACATTAATCATCACTGGTATAGTCTGTTTTCTGATCTGATTGATTGCCTATTAAAATCAACGATTGAACACTGAGAAAGTTTGTGACTTGCTTAATTTTTGTATTATTTAATCCATTGATTAGCAAAAGGAATGAATAGTTCAATTGTGAAACAAAATTTAATGATTGAGAAGGCACATTTCGCCTAAAATTTTGTAAATTAACTACAAGGCAAAGTTACAAAAATTGAGCAAAAAGCGTGAACGGTAATTAAGAGTCAATTAAACGTGTACGTCAAAAGCGTATCAACTCCTGAGAAACAATAATAATAATCATACTTTTTCAGATGATAAAGTGAAATCCGATAAATCATAGAGAAACGTAGAGACAAGAAAAAGATACGAAGATACAAGATAGAGCGAAAATATAAGATATAGCGAATCTGAAAACAATCAGATCACCTACGAGAGAGAGCCGTTAGATCGATTCGTTTTTCAAAATGGAAAGTGACCGAGTTTCTCAGTAGAAATTTTGTAAGATGTTTCACAATCTAGCGGCTCTAACGCAAAATGAGTTTGATAAAGAAGTATTGGACGCAAAAGGAATCTGCAAAAGGAATGAACCACTTCTGGACTCTGACCTTGGGTTCAGTTTTTGAAAAAGTCAACAAACAAAGGGCTAATCTGTTTGAGATTTTGAAAGTTTCGACTAGATCAATGACAAAGCGGCGATGTTGTAAAGTTTTGAATTCAAAAAGAGCAAGTCTATCCTCATAAATCAAGCTGGAATAATTTAAAGAGTCTAGTATACACACCGCCACTTTGCCATAATCAAAACCAAAATGCAAACAGACTTGATCCATTTCCTTCGGAGTAAAACAGGTTGAACCAATTTTGAAGCTAATTCAGAGGTGGTCAGAGCCTAGGAGAGGCGGAAAACTTTTCACATTGATTACGTCGTCCGGACAGTCAAAAATCACCATATCTAAAATAGAAGAGCGGCAGAAAGCAGAAAATGTATTGAAAATGAAAAAAGAACTCGTAACAAGGAAACGTTCAAATGAAATAGTGGGGTAGCGATACTTATCGAGGGCAATGGATCATTGAAAAAGCTTACACGGAATAAAATTTAAGTAATGATAATGTTATAAGGAAACAAGATAAAATAAAATGCCTAGCAAAGGGAGGAGGTCGAACTACCCGACTAAATTTAGGACTTTTGCGTGGGGAGCGAGCATCTGATTGATAGATTTGGTTGGTTTCGTTCGTTGGTTTACAGATTCCTTCATAGAGACGAAGTGTAGAAGCCCAAAAATTGAGCACGCACAAATAGCTCAAACATGTAGATACAACTTGTCGTCGGGTCGATTTGTTGGCGGAAACAGGTCGATCCACTTGTGAAGAACTTCGGGAAATTAGAATAACTCGGAAATTCGGAAAAAGGATGGCCCTCGATGTTTGCTTTGATAAGCGTGTTGGCATGAGAAACGAGTGCCGAGTGATCTTCGCCGTTATCGACTCGTTGCAGTCCATGCGAAAGAAAATCACTAGATTGAGGAGGATTTATGCAGAATGTTTGCATTACAATGTGAATCACAGCTTCAGAATTTTTGCTTGGAATTCCATGATTGACAATCCAGCGGGCGATTTCTGTAAATACGGAGAAGGTTTGAGGGGGAGTTGGTTCAATTGAAATCATTTTGATTCGCGTTTTCATCATGGCCTCGAGGTAGACGTGGGACAAATCGTGGAATGAATCGCATTTCAGGCTTACCTCCTCGCATCCATTCAATTGGTTTTCGATGAATTTGCCGAGTTGCTCTTTCAATGCTTCTTCTAGTTCAGGTGGTGAGAGTCCGAATCTGATGGTTAGTTTTGCGTTCTTTTCGACCGATCCACGAAAATTGGTGAGGAATTCTAGGTAATGTTCCTCCGTGTCAACGTAGAAGCCGAGTTGATTCACGTATTTCAACTGGTTTAGGAACACTCCATCGATGTGGCCCCAGAGGTCTAATTTGTCGGCTGCATCGATCCGTTTAGCGAAAGGAAGAAGAGTTTCATTCAATTTAAGGTACGGAGAATCGACGATCTTCTTGATCGAATATAAGCCCCCTCCTAGCATAACCCCAGCGACGTGAGTTCCGAAAACGATCGATTGATCCCTTGCATAAATCGCCATCATCCTCTTGTTCACCATCATCAATTCCAGCACGTCTTTCACATCGAGATGTTGTGCGATCTTCTCAATTAGCTCCACCGGCAAATCACCGATCGTTGCAACCAGCATTCTTGTATCTAAAAATCAAAAGATGTCATTGGAATTGGCATTTATACGATTTACTGAAGTCACTTTTTCTCACTAAAACCACTTTTCTAGGTTAATCTAGAGCAGTAAACGTTTTTCATTGTAAAAATCATATCAAGCAACCCAATAAATTGTTCCTTATATATACTATACTAGAATAGAAATATACTAGAAATGACTCCAATAAACCATAAAATTAACGAGAAATGCATAAAAAAACAAATTGGAAGCGATCAAACGTAGATAAGGTTAAATTTTTTTTGGAAGAAAATCTCTCACAGCTTTCTAGATTAAAAATCAAAGATATCCCTAAACGCAAACAACTATTTAGATTTGCGCTTTAGTTAAAAGGAATTAGTCAAGTTGCGTTTATACGATATGGGTGAATGAATTGAAAATCATGGAGTGGAAGAAGCCGAAAAGAAAACGAAACAAGCCGTATTAAAATTTTAAACGACAAACTATGGGCAAATAATATAAAAAAGAAGGGAATGAACGAGGGAAGAGAGTACTTTATGAAGGCGCTACAAAAACACAATAGCTTTTACGAAGGGAAAGAAAACTTATCGGAACTCGGCATAAAATTCGGACAAAGTTTCCGATTGAACCATGGAATGAATCAAAATGAAAATAAATTTACTTAAGAAAAATTAAATTAGCATCTAACTCTAAGCGAGAGAAAGGAGAAAAACTTCCCTTATTCATTTTCTTTGAAAGTATCTTTGAAAATGGCTGGACAATTTCCCGTGGAAATCCTGGAGCCCGTGTCAATCAATAACAATACTCCGGTACGTTGATTTCATGATTTTTAATTTAATTCGGTTTTATCTTAGGTTCTCAACATCATGGGACCGAATGGTTCGGCGTCATATGTGCTTCGCAATAGCTCCGACCAAAATTGCTACTTTGTGGTATGTGATTATGTTTCCGTTGATCTTTATCCTTATTTAATCGAGTTTCTATAATCTAACTTAAACTATGATCTAACAAAATTTGTTTAAGATATGTAGCTTGTTAAAGATCTTTAACTTCTATAAGGTCTTTAACTTGTTCAAGATCTTATAGAAGTTAAAGATCTCCAACTTGTTTAAAGCCTTTAATTTATTTAAGATCTTCCACTTCTATAAGCTCCCTAACTTGTTTAAGGGGTTTAACTTGTTCAAGATCCTATAGAAGTTGTAGATCTTAAACAAGTTAAAGATCTTCAATTTCTATAAGGTCTTCAACTTGTTTAGGACCTTGAACTTGTTTAAGATCATTTTGTTTCATTTCCATTTTCTTAATTTGTACGTATTATTTTTATTTTAGATTGGTACGCCTGTTCTGAGAGCTAACCCAATGGCGGTGCAAAACTGGGACCTTGCCTATGTTTTGTCAAACAATACGGAGGTGTTCTTGATGAGTTTTGTCTTAGCCCCGGGCGATAACGTCCGTCTTTATCTCCGCGGACAAAATCGTAAGGTTTTAAAAGAACTAATTTAACTTTAAAGATCAGAATGATCGAAATTTAAATGAGTGTTTTAAGTCAGTTTTTATAGTGGTGCCTGGAGAATACGATTTGAACATCGGAGCTGGATTGTTGGCGGTCAATCAGGCTCTCCTTACGCTGACAGTGATCATTTAAGAGGCAATTGGGGTGCAATAATTCGTGAGTTATTTTTTGAACTTTGATAACCTAAAATTCGAACTGTATTTTTGAATGCTTTTTTTAGGGGGACAACATGAATGCCGTCGCCTTCATTTCATTTCGAATAAATTTCAGCACAACTCTCGAAAAATAAATAATTGATTTGAAAATTGAAACTTGATTTAAAATAACAATAACACTTGAATGAAGGAAAAAGACTGTATAACACGTTTAGTAGTTTGAACGGTTCTTGTTGTAGTCGCGCTTGCTTCCATAGTTGCTTCTTTTATCACGACGTCCACGTTGACTTAAAAAGGACAAAGTGGTATCGGAAGTAAGTAACAAGACTTTATCTTGCCTCTCCCAATCTCGAGTACGGCTTGCTTGTTGAGTTGAAGATTTTTGTTTAACTTGATCACTAACCAAACTATGGACCAAAAAAATTGGTTCTTCGTCGTCTTCATCAGCACCAAAGTATGGAGAACGGGGTGAACGACCTGGATTAAACTAAAATGAAATTTTGTAAAAATCCTTCAATTAAATAAAACCCTGTATCCGCGTGGTGTCTTCGGTGGAGACTAAACTCCAGAAAACCGGAGAATAATTGACGGAGAGCGGCGACGATTGGCTAAATAGTCTACAGTTTCTAAACAAAATCTCATTCCAAAAGCTATTCCGATAAAGAATCATTTTGTATAAAAAAAAACATTTTTATTTGCCTGTGATTTTATTTTAAACATTGTATTTGCCGCAAAGTCATAAAGTTTTCTAGAGCAATTCAATTCACTATTTAATTACTCAAGTTTCTGTTTGTTTTGGTATGATATGCACCTTTAGAAGTACAAGGAGTTTCTCGATAACACTCCGGCGAAATGGATGGAAAACGAGCACCAAACCGGGCTACATTGGGCCCGAAGTCGGCGACAAGAAGCCCACAAATATCATCGTTGGGGCTGGATCGGCGCGATGCGTTCCGGCAAATAGGTTAGTTTAAACTTTTGTCTTATGTAGTGCATTATGCGTTGACCCAACTAGGGTTTTCTAGGCATTCAGGGTATGCAATAAAATCTTTTTTTGCGTAGGTTGACGGAGGATCCCTCAAACCGCGTGCTTCTCATCGAAGCCGGGCCAAAAGAGCAATTGGAGGGATTGGAGAATTCAAAAGAGGGATTGGAGAATTCACATGCCGGCCGCGTTGATGTTGAACCCGTTGAACGATACAATTGGTAATGATAGCAAATGTCAACGAGTTTCTCAAATGGAATAAACTAGGCATCAACGTACTGTGGTACTGAGGGGTACTTTTTACAGTTTGCATGTTAACATGCTTGCTTTGGTTACTGTAGCTGTTATACTGTAACTGGTATACTGTAACTGATTTAGGACATACGGTACTCGGTGCAGGTATACTGTAACTGATTCAAGGATGAAATATGAGCTACTGTATTCGACAATCCGCACTTTAACGATTCTATAGCAGGGGATTTTCAGATCAAGCGTCAAGTCGATCAAATCAACAAATATTGCAAAGATTCTAGGGCAGAAAGAAAGCTCTTGGACGATCAATGAACAAACCCATTAAAGTATTACTCGCATTTGATTTTTGAGTTTCATCAATAATATTTATTTGATTTGCTCAAGAATCTTGTTTTGTGTAGACGACCCGTGTGTGCTCCAAGTAGCCAATCTGAACTCTCTTATTTTTCATTGATTGATAATCTTTACTTTTGGATGTGTTGCTGTTCTCATTTCGATGACTTGTTCCAAAAAGCGATCATCATGTCGGATAAATGTTCGTCGAAGCTGAAATCCAATGTGAAAGCCATTTTTATGGAGTCTTTAAGATCTATGGCACTTGAGTGCAAATTAATAGTATAATACTTTATAAATAGTGCAAATGATGCTTTTGTAACTTATCTAAGGCTTACTGTGGCTGTTCACTGAAACTTACTGAAGCTCTAAGGCTTAGCGTAGCTGTTCACTTATACTTTGAGCTACTGGAGCTATTGGGGTTGCTGTTGCTAGCTTGTACTGTAACTAGCCTAGGATTTACTGTAGCTGAAGTAGAAGATACTGTAACTGTGCCTTAGATAAGCTTAAAAGGATTACTGTATCTGATCCTGGTGTACTGTAACTGATTTAAGCTCACTAAAAAGCCACTCTTTACAAAAAGAGTGGCTTTTTAGTTGTGGCAGTTCAAAAAAAGAGTTTCACTCACATCTTCCACCGGGAGATCTCTCGAGAACGAAATTCTCCCAATATCTTTCAATGTTAAAACCAATTTGTTGTGCGAGACGTGCCCAACTTCATAAGTTGTGAAACCTGAAAAGTTTTGAGTGTAAACTAAAGTCTGGATCTGGATTTTTCAATTGATAACCGGTTGAAATAGGTGTGCGCCTTAACACCTAAGCCCGAGCCTAAGCCCTCTAGCTACAATGCTTCTTTGGAGCACTAGGTGGCTCTGATCAGGATGGTTTAAGTGTAGAAATGTTCCCCAGAATTTCAACGTCAAAATACTATATAATAAGTTAAATTTCGATCGAGTTTTAGCTGAAAAATGGGACTTCTTCTGCAAAGTGATTCTTTTGTAAAATGATTCTTTTGATCACCCTGTATTTTGCTTCTTTGTTTCACCAACCATTGTTCCCCGAAGTCATCAACGTGGCATTTCCAGTTGGGTCCACTGTAACGAAGCCCCATTCATCGTGGAAATGATCCTTTGTTGAGTGGGACCAAGCTCGAGCGCTAAAATTCACGAACTATTGATTAGAAATTTATCTACAACTATAACAATTGCTATTTATCTATTCATTTCATCCTTGACTCGAATACCGAAGTAAAACTTAGAGCAGTCATACTAATTTGGGTACCTGTGAACGCCGCCTATTTTTTATTGAAAATCAATTTGCATTTAAAGATGGGCAGCTTAAGAGTCACAAATAGGCTTGCTTATCGATATTATCAATACAAACGGTATGCTCATCTTTGACTGTTTAGATCTCGATTTCTAGAAGAGCTATCAATCTGTAAATTGTTTTATTGGAAAGTCAAGAATGTCAGCTTTTGATTGCTTTTTTTATACATAGCGTTTAATGAGTAAGAACCTCATAAACCATCTCGATCGATAAGCTTATCAATATTTGAGTGTCGATAAGGATTGAGAAGCTTTTTAAGGCATTCACCTATGAGAATTTGCTCTAAATGAGATTGCAATCAAAAGTTGACATTCTTGGCTTTCCAATAAAACAATTTACAGATTGATAGCTCTTCTAGAAATCGAGATCACAACGGTGAAACATAAGCTTATCGAAATATCGATAAACTAGAATCAAGTACATAATATCGATAAGCAAATCTAGTCACAAGTACGCTAAAGTACTTGTGACTTTGCCCATTTTGACTTTTATAACTCACAACACTATCATCAAACCATTACATTCTTACAAATCAGACTAATTTCCTATTTATTCTTTGCAATAAGATCATAAAACTAAATGGAAATTGCCTCTTTTGAACGGAAATTATACTGGGGCAAGTGGGCAATTTTATAATGTGCAAAATGGGTGGCATAAGAGTCAAAAGAACCCTAATTTGTTCTTTAAGATCCATCTATTCCAATGAAATTTTCTGATCAGCTAATAACCAGCTAATAATCAGCTTATCGCTTTCCCACTCTTCATTTTCCCTCATTTCAATACACCAAATGAAATAGATTCGATTCTTTTCCGAACACAAATCTTTACAAAAAGTGGAAAGAAGAAAGAAATGAAAGAAAAGAAAAGGAAAAGAAAGGAATGAGAATGGTTGGATGGGGTATGGGGGTGAAGCCGAGGTGGAACCCGTTTCCCTTTTCCTTTCGCACTGTCACACTCTATTTCCCCTTTGCTTGGCATAAAGACACATTAAAAACATTGATTTGTATCAAGCTCAAAAAAAAATCGATGTCAAAACAGAAAACAAAAAAACTTTAAGCCTAAACGTAAGCTCAATAAGCTCAAGAAGCTCAATAACTTTAACTCAATCACTTAAGCTCAATAAATTTAGCTTACATTTATAGGTTGAGTTTGGAAACTAAGTTTTTGTTTCCGTGCTTAAAGCTATGGTTCTATTTTTCAACTTATTTATAAACTACAGAAATTGAAGTACAATAAAATGAAAAGTGAACAAGTATGAGAACTTGTTAAAAACTCTTGCAGTTCAATAAAACTAGGTAATCAAGAACAATGAGCATTTAAAAACTAATGAACGAAACGAATCAAATTCAAAGCAAAACCTAAAGTCACAGCTTCACAGTCACTTTATAAAGTTTCACTTCAGCTTCAAAAGCTTAATTTCAAGCTGTTTAAGGGTTATTTACAATGGTTTAAGTTTAAGGTTTATTTCCAACTCGAATGAATCAAGAAGTCCAAAGAATTTCTCTTAACACTACTGTACACTAGACATGGGAAATCCCCCTGAAATCGGGGCAGTTCCGGGTGACGATATTTTGGCTAAATGTTTCTACCGAAAAAAGTTATTGATTTATTTCTTTTTACATTATATAAAGCATCTTATAGACTACATTTTGACATGTAATAAATAGCAAAATCTCTTGTGGATGAACGAAATAAATACGTTTGGCCCATCGTCCTGATCCGAAAGCCTCTTTGGGTCGGGCGATGGGCCAAACGTTTTTTCTCTTCACCACAAGGTTTTCATTTTATTACATGTCAAAATGTAGTCTATAAGATGCTTTATATAATGTAAAAAGAAATAGATCAATAATTTTTTTCGGTAAAAATTACCAGCCAAAATAACGTCGCCCCGAGCCGCCCCGATTTCCGACGTCTACTGTACACAGCTCAGGCTAGGATCTAGCTATTGTACTTGGTTCTAAACTTGCCTGAATACATTTGATAGCCAAAATCAGCTTCAATCTGTCACCCAAAGGTGTAAACTTTGACTATGTGAATGAAAATGAAGAAAATATGATCGTAAAACTCACGAAAAGTTCAAGAATTGTACATTGGCGCTCCTTGCCAATGGAGCTTCCATGATTTTGAGATCCTCGCCGAAAGTCATCGTGGGAACTGTTGGCCAAAAGACCTGCAGGATTTGTGATTTTAAAATGACTATAACATTTAAATCTCAACATTTAAATCATAAAGTTCTTGTATTCAATTTAAATTTAAGAAAGATTCCTCCATTTTTTGCTTTCACGAATTCTGCACCTACCTTTCCTGAAAATTCGCTTCTCCAATGTCCAACAATCCATTCCAATTGCTTATTGTAGGAAGTTAATTCCGAATTTGTTAAAGAAAAGAAGAAAAATAACAAGAAAATCATGCTGACTGAGCGGAAATTCGAAGGAGAAGCCGAGTCGACATTGGAAAAATGGGCGGAGTCATTTCTCTGTTTTTTCTTGCACTGCAAAAGGAGCCGCTCAATTTTGTGTATGTAAGCGCTTTTTAAACTCTGTGGCAAGATTGAAAACGAATTGCACTCTGTTCAATAATTAGTTTATCATAATTGTTCAATAACTGTTAGTAGCTCTGCTAAAGAGCGAGTTGTGTTAAGAAGTTTCGAGTTTCTGAGATTTGCTATGCTCGTTGTTTATAAAAGGCTTCTCATTTTCCATTTATTAACCATTACAATGATAAAGCTAAAAACGTAAGAATACAGTTGAATAAACATTACAAAATAGATCTAAACCGGATTAGACATCGATAAGGCGATTTTCTTAGCTGCAGAAAGCCTTGCCGGCCGTGTAGGTGCCACCGCAACAATAACTCAATCCGGCACAACAATCATTGATCATCCCAGTGTAAACAGTTTGCGATTGTAATCTCGTTTTTTAAAGTGTCACAAAATTGTAATATAATTTGAGCACTTACGTAGCAAGTTGAATTGCAGGCTGGCTCATACACGGGCGCAACGACAGATGCTGAAAATGAAATATTATCAGATTTCTGTTGTCTAATGATTCTAGAAGCTCACTCTGAGAGTTCTCCGTGCTCTACGTAAGGGGCTACTATTACAGCTTTTACGGTATTATTATATTTTTTTGTCTAATGATTCCTATCACATATTTCTAGGATCTTACTCACTCTCAGGGATATTTTAGAATGGATATTTGAACTCACGAAGCGAAGTGAGGAAAGTGGTGCAGGCAATGATGATGTAGATGAGAAGAAGAGAGGATTGGATGAGTGATTTGGATGGCATGGTTGAGTTGAGAGATCGAAGAATGAAGCGAATGAATGGATTCGATGATTCCCTTCAGATTTCATCCATTCTTTTATATTGGCCACATCGAGTGCTCCAACTTTGATTCCATTCAATTTAGTCTTCTGCAAAAATTTGGGATTTTCGTTCAATTCAAAAAGACATTGGGAAGTATTATAGGTCAAAATGTAGCCCATAAGACGCGCTAATTAATGAAAAAAGAAATAGAACAATAACCTGTTTTGGTAGAAGCTTTTGGCCAAAATATCGTCACCCCGAACTGCTCCGATTTCCGACGTCTACTTTACACGGCTCAGACGAGGATCAGCTATTGTACTTGATTGAAGTTGAACCAATGAACTTAGAAAATGATCAAGTAAACTGGTTTTGATTTCTCATCTCTGATTCTGAGTCTTCAATGGCTGATTTCACCCTTCTCTCGGGTTATTTTAAAATCTCTTAATATCGCGAAATGCGATGGAGATTGCTGGACGTGATAAACAAAAAAAAACAACAATGAGTCGCTAAAAGCTCAAACAAAACGAGAATCAAACGGATTTCATTCATTCGATTTTCTTTTAAATCAAATTTTGATACTTTTAAATTCAGAGATGAACTGGCTGGGAGGTATTTTCTCGTTTCTGTTGGTGTTGATCGGTGTGAATTGTGCGGAGCTTGATAGTTTCCCAATCAACGATCCCCTCAATGAGCCATGTGAACGGGGAAAATTTCGTTGTGCTGAGGGGGAGTGTATTCCGAGTCGTCTTCGATGTGATGGGAAAAAGGTGAGTGATTTGATGTCTAGTAAATGCCGTAATGCCGTAATGCCGTAATGCCGTAATATACCGTAATACTTAAAATGTACAAAGCAATACCCGTTATTTAACTTAATATCAGTCTTTCTGCGTATTGAGAGCAGTTGTTGAGTTTGCCTTGATTAGAGCACGTTTCTCTCAGTCAATGCGTTTCTCTCAGTCAATCTAAAAAGCGTTTTTCTTAGAAAACTACTCTAATTGTCTGAACTAATGCTAAAAGACATCTATTTTGCGTTAATGGCGTTAAAAAAGGCGTTAATGGCGTTAAGGCGAGGCCATTCGATTAGTCAAATTTTGCTCACATTCAATGAGGGAATTAAAAGACTCACATCAGTGATGCCAAAATTCGACTGATCAAATACAAGCCGGCGTTTGATCGCGGTAATTTCGGCAATTGCGGTAATTAAAATAAATATCTGTCAAAAATGATTCATTGGAATTCTTGATTACGAGAAAGTGTTTAGGATTGTTTCCTTGGTGACGACGAGGATTGTCCAAAGGGGATTTCAAGCTGCAAAGCCTCCGAAGTCGCGTGTGGCAATGGGATTTGCATTCCGAAGACACGCGTCTGTGACGGGAAAATCGATTGTGTTGATTGGACTGATGAGGTGAATATTTTTCATTTGCAGCTCTTTCCTTTAGCTTTTTGAAGTTACCAAACGCATACATCTTTACGCGTTTTAAAACGTTTTAACTTTTAAAACGTTTTAAAACTTTTAAAAGTGATACTAAAGTAGAAATGATGTAAACTCTAACTTGACCAGCAAATTTCTGGTTATTGGAAATTTGATGTCCAATAACCATTTGATATCTAATAACCAATAACCTTTTATACGCCCCGCCCCTTTTGCCATTGGCAATCTAACTTTGAACTCAAATATCTTGGTGTTGGGCGGTCCAGTTTAAATAGTTTTTGAACCAATCAACAGAGAAAGACTTGGCGCATCTAATGATACTAAGAATATTGAAATTGAACAACCCAACACCAAGATCTTTGAGCTCAAAGTTAGATTGGCAAAAGGGGCGGGGCCAGGAAGACCTTTTATACGCGCTCAGCCCTTTTGCCATTGGCAATCAATCAAATTTCTTGGTGTTGGGCTGTTCAATTTCAATAATTTTTGTACCAGTCGACAGAGACAGACTTGGCGCATCCAATGATATTAAAAATATTTAAATCGGACAGCTCAACACCAAGATATTGAGCTCAAAGTTAGATTGGCAAAAGGGGCGGGGCCAAAAAGACCTTTTATACGCGCCCCGCCCTCTTTTGTCACTGGCAATCCAATGATACCAAGAATATTTCAATTGAACAACCCAACACCAAGATATTTGAGTTCAAAGTTAGATTGCCAATGACAAAAGGGGCGGGGCGCCTACCAAATGTCCCAGAATCCAAATTTTTAGGTGGGTTGTGGCAGTACTCCGCGCCTCTTCAAGACAACCACCCCAACCACATCCACCACAACGCCTTCAACAACCGCTCCACCTCGTGGGACACTGAAACAGTTTTCCCAAAGTGCACCAAATGTTAAAGGATTTGAAGTGAAACCTGCTTGCAAATCAAGTAAGTAAAAAAACTTTAAAATGTTTGTTGTTTAACATTGTCATGATGTCATGTCATGTTTAACATTGTCAATGTTTAATTCTGTTTTTAAAAATCGAGGCATATCGCTTGGATTCAGAAGCAAAATGTACCAGAAGCATAAGCAAAAATAATCTTCAATTTCTACTATTGGCTTATGGATTTCAAAGTTGAACCATTAAAATTCAGACATGAACCATGAACATTCAGACATTAAAAACATTTTCAGACTTCTTTCCAATCAAGATCGATCGCCCGAATCTTCTCCTTTTTCTCATCGGTCAACTCCTCATCATTTTGATTATTTTCTGGCTTGTCAAAGTGATTTGTATTCGGTTGGTTTTTTGGTAAACTAAAAGTACTATGTAGTAGTAGATCATATGTAGTAGATCATTCATATGTAGTAGATCATTCATTCATTCATAGTAGATCATTCAATATTCCGCTACAATACATACAACAATACAACTATTTCTCACAGAATACTATAATTCAACGTATAGTAACATTTTAGCAAGAGATTCTCGAAAACCACCGACGGACTCACTGCCAAGCTCTACCCAACCCTAGAAACCGAGGATGGAAAGGCTAACAAGTGAGTAGACTTTAAGATATTAAGAATGGCAAGCCTTAAGATGGCAAACTCAGTACTTATACCCGATACTATAGTAGTGATATAGTTATCGGTGTCAGCAACGAAAAGGCAGAAACTTCATTATTATAGCTAGCAAAAAAACCCTAGCAAAAAACCAAAACCCTAGCAAATGACAACTCAGTCTAGGAGATGAGGTAAAGTACACCAATACTTGTAACATAATGTAATAGTTGCACCGAACTACTGATACAGTAGTAAATTGATCGCTATAAGAAAGAAATCCAGTAGTACTGGACAGCAGATAAGCAAGAAGTATTGGATTGGTGAATTGAAAAGTGCCGGACTTTGAACTAAAATTGATTCAACATAAAACCATCAATTCGTTCCAAATAATTTCCATTATTATTGACGACTTCTGCCCATTTTACAGGCAATTTGCGGATTCCTCTTTCGTAGTAGGATTTTGGTTTGTGTGTGAGACAAGGGTGAGACTCAAGAATGGAGGACTGGAGATGTCAGCTATCAGCCCAGTTTGAGCACTTTCTTCAAAAGAAACCCATTTTGGTGTCAATGGAAAAGTTGTAGAGAATCAAAAATTAGGCTTATATCCAAATTTCCAAAAAGATACACATAGTACAGGGTGCGGCCAAAATATCCGGCGATGAAAAGACCGACTGGTCTTCAGAAAATTAGCAGAAAAGCTTTATAGAATTTTACTGAAAATAACAACAACAGTCCAAATAACAAAATAAAAACAGTTAAATCTCAAAGTTTCCTCCTTTTTCCTTCATGCAAGCCCTAAGTCGCTTCGGCACATCGTCGACCGCGGCACGGAGAGTCTCAACGGGGATTTTTGCCCATTCCTTGATAAGGGTGGCTTTCAGATCATCCAAATTAGCATGTGGAGCTGATGAGACCTTTGCCTTCAAGATTCCCCATATGGCGAAATCCATAGGATTGATGCCAGGTGAATTTGCAGGCCATTCTTCCGGGGTAATGAAATCCACGTTTTGCTTGGCAAACCACTCCATGGTCTTTTTTGCACGATGTGCTGGTGCAGAATCTTGTTGAAAGATCCAAGGTGCTCCAGAAAAGTGATTATCAGCCCAAGGCTTCATATGCCTCATCAAAATTTCTTTTTCGTAGTAATTTTGATCAATTTTCACACCTGGCTGCACAAAAACAAGAGGTGTTTTTCCATCAGCGGTCACCCCGGCCCAAACCATCAACGATTTTGGATGAGCCGATTTTTGGACAATTCTTCCCTGAGAATTTGCCGTGGCAACATCTTTTGTTAAAATCCGATTATTTTGCTTGTTGAATTCCTGCTCAATTGTGAATGGCGCTTCATCCGACCAGAGAACCCTCCGATGCGTGCCACCCTTCAAACGCCGCAACAAAACTTTGCATTTCTTAAGTCTTTGTTTCACTTATTTATCAAAAAAATAATTGAAACATATAAAAAAGAATAAAAAAATGCATAAACATAAAAAGAAGCGTGAATAAATGAGTTTTCGCAGTATTATGGCAAAAAGTACGTTCCGCCGGATATTTTGGCCGCACCCTGTAGTTTCGCTTTTCATTCCAAATAAGTTCCATTTGGCAGTGTCAGTGAACATAGGGTCAGTGAGGGTCAGTGAACATAGGGTCAGTGAGGGTCAGTGAACATAGGGCATCCAAGTCCCAAGTTTCGATTTAAATCCGAGGTTATGAAGGTGATTCAACACTGTAGCATGATCAACCCCTAACTCTTCTCCCAATTCACGTGATGATGCCCGATGGTCGTTGGTAATGAGCTCGAGTAATTTGGAATTATCCAGTTGGGGTGCCGCTCCACGGCCCACTGCATCATTCAAAGATTTGTCCCCAGATCGAAACTTAGCAAACCATACTCGACACGTTCTTTCGGAAGGTGAGTCCTCCCCATATATCTTTTTAATATTAGCAGCTGCCAAGCCTGCACTGTGCTCTTGTAGGAACTCATGAAGCATGACATGACGAATATGTCCCGGTGGCAGATTGTCGAGTGCAATAGAAGAAGTGAAGAAAAATACCAAAAAATAAAAAGCTGGAAGCATTATTTTTTCGCAATAGCTAGAGGAAATGTTGGAGAAAACAAACCCCCTTTCAGCTGGTTCAATGCTTTTGTTTTTTTATCTGCGAGTCCCGCGAAATAGCCGGTAGTTTTCAATTCACCAATCCAATAGTAAAACAATCAGTGCTTTAGTAGTTCGGGGAGCAGTTTGTCAAAACCAATTTTTTAAAACTCTACACTATTTTTAAAAACACTTTCTACGGTAATTAATTCCGCTGAATTTATTGGAAGCATTTTTTAAAACATCCTGGACAACTATTAGGCCAGTTTGAGCAAGATTTCCGTGCTTTCAAGAGCCTTCTATTTCCAGTGGGTGTAAATGTGAACTGAGAGAGGCAGCACTGAATTAAGAGGCTTAAAACCTGCTTGAAATCGGTAGAAACTATTTGAAATAGGTAGAAAAGAGCCACTAAAGTTCAAGTAAATACAAAATTAGGAATCTACGCTGTTAAAAATCATAGAAGCAAAAAATTAGTGCGTTCTGGTGGTGGCGAAATTCGAATGTAAAGTTTCAGAGCTGTTGCCTGAACCGCCGCTTCTCCCTGACTTCAACAAAAATTCGTCATTGATTTTAAAAAATTCAGTTTTTGTACTGTTATGTAAAACATTTATTTGACTAAATAAAATCAGAGCAATTATAAAAACAATGAAAAGTCAGTGACTAGATCGATGGGAAACTAGAGATTCGTACCTGTACACAATGAGGTCACTAAGATTAATGTCAAAATCAGAAAGTCAGTCAAATCAAAAAGTCAGTCAAATCAAAAAATTTACATATATTTTGTCAAAAACTCCACAATATCTTCACGCATTTGTTTGCCTATTTTACTTCCAGGCATGTTGAAAACGCCATGGTATCTGAAAGAGGTAAAGATTTGAAGTGAAATTGAGAATCAACGATAGTTTATGAAGCCAGTGAGCCTGTGATTTTTTGAAAAGCTACTAGGTCAAGCCAAATCAGGATCAAGTCCGGTACCACTTCTAGCATGATTTGGCCTAAACTAGTCACTTCTAAACTATTTCCGACTCGGTTAGACGCTCTAAAACATAGCTCCAGCTACCGTAACCCTCGTCTGATCTAAATCGCGCCGCTACCTAGATAGATCTCCATGATATAAGCTTGATTTTACAGAGTTTCATTTTTTCTATATCTAACTATAAGTTAATTGCTGTTACAGTAATCTTTACGACTAGTGTAACAAAAATTTGGATGCTGTAACATCCATGAGCTGGGCGACGGATTACGGTAGACCTGCCTGATGAGTCCGGGCAAAGTTTTCCGACAGTCTCCCTCGCTCTCCGATTTCTTACTGCCCAAAGCTCCCTCGAGCATGAAACCCAGTTCCCTCGAAAGCCCTTATTCTAAGCTTCATTTTGATACTAAACATGGCTAGGTTCTGTTTTGCTATTCTTCAGATTTCGATCAATCTTTCACCGGACTCGAGAAGCTTGACAAGTCCAGGAAAATTTGCATTTAAAATGATCGAAATCTAAAGAATGGGAAAACAGAACCTAGCCAAGTTTGGTATCAAAATGAAGCTTAGAATAAGGGCTTTCGAGGGAACTGGGTTTCATGCTCGAAGAGGTTTTGGGCAGTAAGAAATCGAAGAGCGAGGCAGACTGTCTGAAAACTTTGCCAGGACTCATCAAGCAGGTCTACCTTAATCCGTCACCCAGCTCGTATCTGTTGCAGCATCCAAATTCCAAATACGGTAACCAATTCACGCTTTAAATGCTGTTTTTGCAAAAAATGACTAAGAGAAATACACTTTTTCTATCTTGAAAGAATTCAACTGAAAACAAACCCAGTTGGATAGTGTTTCCAATTTGTCTCCACACCATCGGCTTTCAAACGATCGGCATACAAGATGCCTTCATCCCTGAAAGTTCGGAAGCTATTCTAACCTGATCTTGACAAAAAGGAACACTATAAGTTTGTTATTGGTCCAAATTTACCTAAGCACATCATATCCACATGTCAAAACCATTGCTGGCGGCAAATTCTTCAGGGTTTCAGCAAAAATCGGGCTGATTTCCGGGTTCATTGCTTTAAGAGCAGCTGAAGCTAGCTGAAAACAGTAAAAATATAGATTCTGAAGATGTAAATTAAAGAAAAATCTAAAATTTGTTGAATCAAAACGTTAACTTTCAAGTTTTACCTTATCATTTGGTTTCAGCGGGTCATCAAGAGCTAGATGCTCTTTCGGGATGTGTTTGGAGAATTCTGGGAGTGAGAGGATCTTTCTGCAATAATTACTTAAAGCATAACTGAATCATTAAATCAGTTTAACACAAGATTCAAAGATTTAGATTGTAGATATAGATTGTAGATATAGATTGTAGATATTGATTGTAGATATTGATTGTTGATATTGATTTTTGATTATTTGATCTTAAACTAACTGATTGATGTGTCGATTCTTCAACAAATCTTTCACTTGACTGTGGGTTCCTTTTTCTCCCAAATAGAACAAGCTCCAGCGAGCCATTGAAACAGGACTAAAATGGATTTAAGCAATAAGAAATTGTCATTTAATTTAAGTTCTAAAATCGTGTTTAACTATTCTTGAATCAAACCACAACCTTAGCAATGCAGCTCCATTGTACAAAGCGTAGTACTGCAAACAAGACGGATCTCGAAAGCTGAACATGTGAATCACCGGGTAGATCATGACATGGGCCTTAATTTGATTGTAGTAACAGTAATTTAATTGTAGTAACAGTAATTTGATTGTAGCAACAGTAATTTGATTGTAGTAACATATAAACAATACACAAGACAATGTAATGGACCAGTATTGAAATAGGAAAGGACAATTGCAGCATAGCAACTGCATTCGTGAGCCTGGATCGTCCAACAAAAGATTTCAAGTTCTGGTTTAAATCTATGGTCGAATTTGTGGTCGAATCTGTGGCTCAATCAATATCATTGTACCGGAGATTCGATAAAAACCATACAAAGAAGTAGTAGTAATGTCTACAATCAACCATAACACTAACAATAGCTACAACTAGCTATGCTTACTGTACTAGAGATCTACTGAAAAACAAGAGATCTGTCAGAGAGATCTGTCAGAGAGATCTATCAGAGATCTGTCAGAGAGATCTGTTAGAGGGATCTGTCAGAGATCGGTCAGAGAGATCTGTCAGAGGGATCTGTTAGAGGGATCTAGCAGAGAGATCTGTCAGAGGGATCTAGCAGAGAGATCTGTCAGAGAGATCTGTTAGAGGGATCTGTCAGAGGGATCTGTCAGAGGGATCTAGCAGAGAGATCTGTCAGAGAGATCTGTTAGAGGGATCTGTCAGAGGGATCTGTCAGAGGGATCTAGCAGAGAGATCTGTCAGAGAGATCTGTTAGAGGGATCTGTCAGAGATCTGTCAGAGATCTGTCAGAGATCTGTCAGAGAGATCTGTCATAGATCTGTGAGTAAACCCCATTGAACACGGAGTATCCAATCAAAAATTATAGTCATCATTCCCTTTTCATCAAATATATTCTTTTAGCAATTTAAACTTTGTAAACTATCTTTCTTTATCTCAAAAACCCTACCTTAATCGGGTACTCTAAATGCTCATTCGTCAAACGCAGAGTTGTCGTCGCTGTCAGATTCCCGCCTGCACTGTCACCCATGATGATAATTTTAGTCGGATCAATTCCATATTCTTTTTCTCTAAACAAATTTCTGAAATCAAAATAGCTTTCAAACTTTTTCATCAAAGCTTTTGCCACATTCGAGCAATCATCAATAGCTGCAGGGAAGGGATGTTCGGGACAAAGCCGATATTCAACCGAGAAAACGTAACAACCGAGTTTTTCCACAAATGAGTAAATTGTTGGATCGTAGTACTCTGAAATTGATTGATAAATTGAAGATCTTTATCAATATCTATTGGGTTGGTGAATGGAAAACTGCCGGCTATTGTCAGATGGCACAGTTTGAGCACTTTCTTGAAAAGAAACCCATTTTGGTGTCAATGGAAAAGTTGTAGAGAATCAAAAATGAAGCTTATATCCAAATTTCCAGAACGATTCAAAAACTGGTTTTCAAGAAATGCCAAATTTACGAATTTTCACAAATCTTGCAACAAAACTTGCATTTTAAGCGAAACTACTAAGTGTATCTTTTTGGAAATTTGGCTATAAGCCTAATTTTTGATTCTCTACAACTTTTCTATTGACACCAAAATGGGTTTCTTTTGAAGAAAGTGCTCAAACTGGGCTGACAGCTGACATCTCCACTCCTCGATTTTTGAGTCTCACACTTGTCTCACACACAAACCAAAATCCTACTACGAAAGAGGAATCCGCAAATTGCCTGTAAAATGGGCAGAAGTCGTCAATAATAATGGAAATTATTTGAAATGAATCGATGGTTTTATTTTGAATTAATTTTAGTTCAAAGTACCGCAGTTTTCAAATCCAAGACGACCCTAAAATCCGGCAGTTTTCAATTCACCAACCCAATAATTATAAGTATTGTTTATTTACTGTTTATTTATTATTGTTTATCGTTTTTGTTTATTTACTTGCATGCATTGTTGCCCATCCTCCACCGTGAATGAAAATGATTGCTGCGTTGGATTTTTTCAATTTCGGTTGATAGACTCTCACGGGAACTCCACCCAATCGATCCCAACTTATCTGAAACAACTTTTGTTTTGTACTCATTGATTGGTTTGTTTAAAATAGAAATATTACATAAATTTCAGAACTGACTGTTAAGTAACTTGGTGGTTTTCTTGGCCAGCTGAAGACGAGCGCTGTGACAACACGAAGAACATTGTTTCGATGCCATGGGCCAAGGAGAAGCTCGATTAGATCAGCCTGGATAAGATTCACTTCAACTGATACAGTAATTTCTCGTTTCTTTTTACTGTATACTGTAATGAAAGTATTCAGTTATTCAATGAAATATTCCCTGAGCTAACTACTTTATTGCCTCAATATTTTGAATGTAGCTTTATAACTACTGCAGCTAAACAGTAAGCTGAAGGCTTTGATTCGACAAATGACTGCACTGGAATTTGGCTACAGTATCCTGGAATAAAAGTAATAGCAATCATAATAGCTTACTGTAGCCTACAGTAGCTTAACACTGGCCTACTGTAGCTTAACACTGCCATACTGTAGCTTAACACTGGCCTACTGTAGCTTAACACTGATCTACTGTAGCTTAACACTGGCCTACTGTAGCTTAACACTGCCATACTGTAGCTTAACACTGGCCTACTGTAGCTTAACACTGTCCTACTGTAGCTAGGCCTCTAAACAGAATATCAATCTAAACAGAATATCAAACAGTACAATTATCAAATCAAGACTGGAGCCAAAAGTATTCAATAATAAGACTGAATACATTTTCCCCTAGCCATTGTAGCTATTAGTCATTATTATCAGTATCATTATTAGTCAATAGCGACTTTATAACGTACAAAGTACTCATTGGTGACTCGTAGCCAAAACTCGAGAAAAGCGAGGGTACTCCGATCGGCGATATCATTTGGCAACGGGATGTAGATCAAGTAAAGGAATAACAAGACAAATAAAGCAATTAGTAACCAGAAATACCAGTCCATTTTATGTTTGTTTCATGCTAGGACATCTAAATAAGTTAAAATAATCAAAAAGTTGGATATTGAATGAATAAGAAGCAATATGAAATCAATAAGAAGCAATATGAGATCAATATGAAGCAATTTGAAGTCACCTAGGTTACAGCAATAGTACAGAAAGGTGAAGTACAATAGTACAAAAGTGTTAAAAGTATTATTAGATTAAAGATTTTTGAAATTTTAGCTATTTCTATGAACTTTATCAATAAATTATTGTCAAAATTTATAAAAAACAATATCAGAAAAATCTTTGAATCATACCGAACTCAATAAATTGACTAATAAAGTGTCTAAAACTAGAATGGCTGTGAGAGAAATGAGTCCACAGGTGAAAATAGCAATGAACACTGCAAATGATTTCGGTTTTTCACTTTTGCAAAGAGGCTTCTCCTTGAAGAATTCATATGATAAGGGAATCGATGTGGCATTGAAAAAAAGGGGAAAGTTAGGAAGAGAAGGAAATGAAAGAGAAGATGGAGAGAAGAAAATGAAAGAGAAACGATCACACTTGCCAAGAAATCATTCATTATGAGATCCTAAACAGGGAAAGGAAGTTAAATGAGTGAAAAGAGTGAAAAGAATTGAAAGAATTGGGAAGAATGTAGGAGTCTGATTGAAAGAATTGCAAGAATTGAAAGACTTGGGAAGAATGTAGGAGTCAAAAAGGAGTCTGATTTGATTCAACGTTGACGTCTGACGTCTGAAGTCTGACGAAACAGAGAGAGAAGAATCGTACTTGTGAAAGATCATAGCTTGTTAAGGATTTAAAATCATAGCTTGTTAAGGATTTAAAATCATAGCTAAATCATTTTATAACAATACAACTATTCTATTCTAGAGATAGGATATGTTTAGATTATAATTTTCTTAAAGGGGGGGGGGGGGGGTATTAATCGCGGCCGGGTGACCATAAAATTTTTTTTACGGCAACCACCTGTTTTTTTATTTTAATATCGCTCATTTAATTATAAAAAGAATAAAAATCACCCGGCTAGAGTGATTTGATGGGCTTCCAAATTTTTGGAGACGTTGCAAGGCTCGCGTAGTTCATCTACAAGGTAAGTGCGAAAGTAAAGCAAAAGTCAGGCATTATGTTTTCTTTTTGTTTTCTTTTGTTTTCTGTTTGTTTTCTTTAGACTTTCGATCTACATTTTTGGTTTTTAACATCTCTAGATGCCTTTTTCAAGATGGAGCTTTCAAGACTTTATTTTTAGATAATGCAAAAGATCATTAAGCTAATCTAGCTTATGGTCTTCTATAAGCTTCTATTCTATAAGCTTCTTCTATAAGCTTCTATTCTATAATACTCTTGTTTTTTCGAAAGCCAAGAAAAATTATGTTAGGAAACAAAAGAAAACCACAATCGAATGGAAAAAAATATCTAATTGCGTCAATCAAAGCGCTGAAGATGGAGGAGATCCAGTCATTTCTGTTGAGGATGCGCTGGAAATTGACTAAGATAGGAAGCCGATTTGAGAAACTGCTATGATTTTTGTGTATTAAAAGTTGACGCTTTCAACCCCGGAAATACGAGTAGCTTTGAGGCGTAAGGGCAGGAGTTATCAAGTTTAATCGCGTTTAATTTGTTCATATAATTATGAGAACTTTTAGAAAACAGTTGCCTTTGTCTAATAATGTTTTTCCTAGAGCAATTGACTCAGAATGTACTAGAAAAAAGCATTGTTTGATTTAGGGCATCGAGAACTGAGTTAGGCTCAATATCTCGCTGTAGTTAGGTATTAAGATCCGGTATACTACCATACTTTTGATTTACTAAGCAGAGAACACAGAAATTCTTGATCTTACATAAAAGCTATGATTTGAAAGATAAAATCAACAAAAAAATATCTCTAGAAAAGTACAATTAAAAGTATTAAAAGTTGGTGTTTTCAACCCCGGAAATACGAGTAGCTTTGAGGTGTAAGGGCAGGATAGTCTGAAGGATAGTCCGGCTGTGGGCTAGTGGATAAGCGTCTTGTATCAGCTCAGATAGCCACCCTTCATTCTTTTGCCACTGGTTCGAATCCTTTTGTTGCAAAGCAAAGCAAGGCAAAGCTCAAGTTTAATCGTTTTTAATTTATTCATTTGTTCATACAAGCCCCTCTCACTTAAGTCATGGTGTATAAAAGCTTAAAATAAAAAACGAAATCTTTGAATCTTTCAAAAAGCTCACATTTTCCTAAGAAAAACGCGGTATTCAAGCTTTTGGATGGTGATTTTTCGATTCAACTCAAAAAGTTACTTTAGAATCATGAATAGATCATGAAAAATTTCAATTTAAACTCCAAAATTTGCATGCAAAATGGTGAAAATGAGTTGATTTCGATTGTCAATTTTGTTCGCAAGATAATTGGCACGGAAGTTTTAGCAATTACTTTATAAAGTTGTGGGAAGCACTTTTTTTGAGATTTTCCTTTTTTTCAGGGGTAATCGAGGGCGCTGATCACGAAAATCGCTTTTTCAACATAGGTTTGCGTATTAAAAGTTGGCGCTTTCAATCCCGGAAATACGTGTAGCTTTGTGGCGTAAGGGCAGAATAGTCCGAAGGATATTGCGGCTGTGGGCTAGTGGATAAGCGTCTTGTATCAGGCGCTACCCTTCATTCTTTTGCCACTGGTTCGAATCCTTTTGTTGCAAAGTTTTATGCTTTTTTTTTCTTTTGCTACGAGCCTAATGCCTTTTTGCCTAATATATGCCTTTTTGACAAACATTTTTGCCTTTTGAAAAAGCGATTTTCGTGATCAGCGCTCTCGATTACCCCTGAAAAAGAGGAAAATCGCAAAAAAAAGTGCCTCCGCCAACTTTATTAGCACCAAAACATGTAACATGACGGTAAAGATCTATTTTAAAACGGTTCTTCGTGTCTCTTTTTGTGAAATCTTTCTATTCATTCGAGGATGAAACTCTCAAAAACTCCCCTTTTGTGGTTGATCTTATGGTTGATCCTTTTGTTGGAAATGGAAATCTCTAACAATAGAGAATAGACTCCAAAAACGAGATTTGATTCGCAAAAAAAGCTAAACGATCAGTTATGGAAAAAGTTATTAAAAAAAATCTGAAAATTCTCAAAAATCCAAAAGTTCTCAAAAATGAAAATCAATTTCTCGTCCAGGTGATTTCTGTGACGCTTCGTTTCCTAAATTTCTTTTGCGGGTGTCTTTTTGGGAAAATGGAGTCTGGTTGACCAAAAAAGGAGTCGAGAGAATGAGAGTTTTCTCTCTGATTCTCAAGGATTTGAGTACTTCAATTTTGCGGAGATTTTGCGGATCCAGTTTTCTCTGTTCAATAGAATCACCGTAAAATGATTGGCTCTTGGTTTTGTTCAAGAATTAGGCCAGTAGAAGAATTGAGATAAAAAACAAGGTACAGATTTGAGTCATGAACGAAATTACCAAACAATTTGTGCTTTGGGATGGGCTTGGTTCAAACTTGATCATTTTTTAGTGATTTTTTTAACTCCACCGATTGTCAGCCAACTATCAGGGTGTAAAGAAAATAATGCGATTTTTTTGATCAAAACTATTTATTGAAAAAAACTCAAACAAGCAAAGATCAATCAGTAAGGTATTCTCCATTTTTGTCAATGACTTCTTCTCATCTTCTGCGCAAATCCCGGTTCGCATCGTCGAAATCAAACGGTTCTTGGACAACAGGCGGACAACAGACAACAGGCGAACAACAGACAACAGGCGAACAACAGACAACAGGCGGACAACAGACAACAGGTGAACAACAGACAACAAGCAGACAACAGACAACAGGCAGACAACAGACAACAGGCGGACAACAGACAACAGGCGTAGAGCTTATTTATGACTTGATTATCAAAGTGTACATCTCCCAAGAAGTGTTTCAAGGTTCGAAATAAAAAATCTGACGGTGCAAGCTCAGGGGAGTAAGGTGCGTAAGGCAAAAGTTTCCAACCGAGCTCCTCCTTTTTTATGAATGACTTTTGCAGTGTAGGGTTTAAGGTGATCGTGCAGAAAAGAAAACGATTTTATCTCCAATTTCTTTAAAACTTCGTTAACTCTCACTAGTTGTTTCGAGTAAACGTCTGCATTGACTCTTTGTTTAGATTTTAGCACTTCATAATGCATCAATCCTTTCGAATTCCAGCATAAACAGAGCATTATCTATAATCCATGGATATCGGGCTTGGGAGTGGTTTGCAGGGGTTCACCAGCAAAGAGCTATTGATTTTACATTGTCATAACTAATCCAAGTCTCATCAGAAGTCAAGATTATGTCGAAAAATTGGGTGAGTTGCACTTTTGAAGCAAGATGGAGCACACGAGCTATTTTGTTGCCTTAGGTCAGAGGAACCTGTGGAAACCTGGTCAGTGGAAATTCTCCATGTCAAACCATTTTCCCAAGTTGAGGTAAATGCTTTTCAATTGTTACATGGCTAATGTCAAAAACTTCTGTTAATTCCCGAAACGTAAATGTGGAATCAATTTGAATAGCATTGAGCAAATCGTCATTTGAGATTTCTAGAGGATGTCTGTGGCTCATTGTGGAACTGTGGAGCATGAGCATCAGCATGAGCTTTCATTGCCCTTTTCGAAAACGCTGAAACCATCGACGACACTGTTTTTCACTGATACAATCATCTCCAAAAGCTTTGACAAATGAACGATGAGATTCAATAGGAGCTTTTCTTGTTTGAAATCGTAGAGCATGGCAGCTCGAAGCACGAGTTTGTTATCATCCATTTTTTTCAGCAAACCTTGCAGCAAACCTTGCGGCAAACTCCATGCAGTAAAAACCACTAGCTAAGTGAAAGGGAAATGATTATAAATCTAGTGAGTGTGTAGTTTATTTTTGTTTAAAACATTACGTAAGAAAACACTTGCCAGCACCGTGAAATTGCCAGCACCGTGAAATTTGAAGCGCACATTATTTTCTTTATATTCTGATAGATAAAAAAAGAGACTTCGAAGATAAAAGGTTTCAAAATCGGTCGA